TGCAACCATAATAATTAACAATCTAATACAGAGAACTAATGTTTGATCAATCCAAACTGCCCCATAGTGTGAGTCCAGTCAACAGAGCGGGAACAAACAAGAGCAAACCTTAACACAGAGAAAGGTCATGGGATCAATAATTCATTTAAGATGCTCCCCGGGATTGACTCTGCACTTGCCTTGTAATCAGGAGGGGAGATTTATTTTTCTTAAGCAACTTTAAATCAGCATTCCTACGGTAGAAAAGAAGAAAAAAAACATTATGCCACCTGGGTCGATTTTCAGTGCCCTCAAAAGGCCTCGAGATTTTCTGTTTAATTTACCCCCCCAGGAGCTGGCAAGCAGCAGCTCTTTAATAGCACTTTAACCGTGGACTAAGCATCTATTTAGGAAACTCTGTGAAAGAAAGGGGAGAAAGGGTAAGGATAAATCCAAAGACATAAGTGCATTTGCAGTGAGGAATTATTATATTTTCAACATACGGCTGCAAGTTACTGTATCTTGGTGAAAACATCCCAAAATTTTACTTATGCATGTTAGTGAAATTCACACAGCAAAATGAAACTATGTGCAGATGGTTAATATTTTGATCTTGGTAAACTACACATGACAATGTGTTCCTGTGCAGAGTCAATTGAACGAGCTGTTTTATTAAATAGCACCCTTGTCATGATTTATGTATTTATTTCGGTTAAATGCCTCCAGAAAAGAACATACTTTACGATGTTTTCAGATATCTACTGTCGCTTAGTTAGCGGGGCATTTCACACATGCAGAGCTCACAGGACTGGCTGTCTGATTCACAGACAGAACCATCTCTTCTGATTTAAATAATGTAGCCCTGCTGAGTGGAGGCATCCAGAGGCTAAGTCAGCTCAAACCCTACAAACCTGGGTGGTTTGAAAGATTTACCAAGTCAAAGCCGTGTCCAGGTGTGATGCAGAGACTAGATTTTCCAGAATGCAATACCTTTAAACAAGGATGCATACAACAACTTTGTATCATTTTTTTTTAGACATTCTCCTCCTCCTCCTACCTGATGTGCATTTATATTCCAGCTCTCTAGATTCTATGTTTTGCTAAAGTGAGTATTCTGATGAAACAGCTGTCCTTTGTAAACAAATGACTATAAAAGAGAAATTTCATAGGCAGTTGCATCAAGAAAGCAGCAGCGTGAAGTTTTGCTTCAACATGTCACTTAGCTTACTTTTCAGATTTTTAGGACATACGGTTTATGGTTTGGAAAGAATAAACATGTCTGATTGACAGCCTAATCAGACTGCTAAAGTAGAGAGAGAACAAAACAGTCTTAGTCTGAATGCAAATGATGGCAAAGACACAACAGTGTAATGACCTCAATGAAAACATATGAGTTCTAATGGGGGTTTTCAGCCATTTCACATATTGTACAGCTTGTTCACTCCGTCTATCTTATCGCTTTTACCCTCATACTATGTAAATACCTGCCTGTAGATAATTTTGTAATAGAATGCCTCGGCACACCAAACACTTAGTCTGTCATTCACTCTAAATTTGTGCCTTTGTTAAATTGGATTCCAAATGCAATTATCTGCCATGGTAATTCATGACAGAGGATCCTGCTATAACTGCTCATTTGAAAGGATGCAGTCATTTATGAGTCAATTTGGAGCAATACTGTATCTCTTGGAAGAGGTGAGGCCCATGGGGAGCTCGGCAAGCGTTCTACTTTGTCAGGAGAGGCAGGGATGAATGATTAGTGCCGTCCAATAACTATTTCCAAGGAGAGTTTAAAGCGATACTGTAAGCAAATGTCTGGCCTAGATCTCTTTAGTAATGAGTTGGATCTCCATGATTAGTCAAATCCATCACAAATGGTGCTATTTGTATAATGTTTGCAAAGCAAATATTTTGTATTCAGCATGAGACGTATTTCCAAGGAAAGCATGTTGTTGGCAGATGGGTTCCTAATATGAAAACCAGCCTTGGTTTTAACACTTGCTTTGAGGTAACCTTATGTAGACACAGCGGGTCCTTTGTCTCTTTGGGTTTGATATGTAGCAGTGAAATGCTTCCTATTTCTCTTCTAAGTCACACAGGGTTCACAAATCAGAGAATTGTTTCTGACCCAGGGCTTCAAGTATGTTATGTTTCCTCGCAGGCTGCAAGTGGATTAATCCAGCTAAAGACTAATTTCCCTTGCATTGTATTGACTCTACGCATGAGGGAATTCAAATCACCTTTTAAGATTCAGTTCTGTAGGATTGGAACCAGTATGTGCTGAAGTGTTTACGTGAGTTTATTTAATGTGGAGTAAGACTGCAACGGTCCCATTAATGGATTAAAGGGCTGTATGTAAATGTAATGGTGCGGATCTGCTGACTGACAAAGAAAAAGTCAGAGGGGGGAAGTGAATAAACAGCAGCTTTCCCACTCTTAATAGATACTGTAAAAGCATGGTGTAGCCACAAAATACTGAGAATAGATGAATAGCGGCCAATTTTACAACAGTGACGAGTGGCTCAGTCATGTGACTGTTTCTTCAGGCTGTTGCTGTAAATAGGATTGAATTTTTTGCTCTACGCCACTTTATCGAGCATCCTCTGAATTTCTTCCTCATTCTCACTTCCTAATGCGATGTAATCAGTGGCGATCACAAAAAGCTGTATTGTTTCCAGTTTGACATGCTACCAAAACAATACCAGCACAAGACTTGTCAGCATTGCCAGTGAATGGGTGTTAATCTGGTTTTAGTTTATTTGTTTTTGCTTTGCTGTTGCTGTCATGGATATTGATACAGTATACTAGATAAACAAATTAAATATGTTCAGCCTTCTTTTTATTCACTTTACAATGTGTGTACTTGGGCTCTTAATGACTTACTGTATATACATTTTAATTATTTAGCAGTGACTAAAACTGGTCATTAGCACAGAACAGCTAAAATAAAAATAAAAAAACCCATCGGTTTTTTTTCCAATGGAGAGCTATTAACTTAACTAACAAAATATTTCCAATCTGCAAAGTTAGTATCTCTCAGTCAGTGAAACCACTGACCAAAACTGATTGTGAAGGCTTTTATATTATTATGCTCCCATGTTAATATCACTGTCCAGGTTGCTCATTCACTGACAGCAATGCAAAAATCAACACAAACTCAAACATCATTTTTATTCTCCAAATATACAGGGCAAAAAGCATCATAGATTCACAGACCAGTACAGGTAAAATACAACCTTTTTCTTTTTTTTCTTAGATACAGAGGGCCACTGTCTGAAAATAATGGTTTATCCAGTAGAATTTACAAGTAGTTTTTTTTTCTTTACAATTACTGTATGTTTATGGTTCACTATTTATACAAACTTTTCAGATGACCATGTAAGTTAAGTACCTTTTCAGACATGGGTCACATAGTATTTGCAATCTAGTTTGCATTATTCGGAGTACGTGGCAACTCAGCCAATCACAGAGAAAAGTACTTATTTGACTTTCAAATGATTTTCTGTGATTATTTCAATTTTCTGTGACGTATTGTACATCGCATTCTGCAAACCAAACCACACTGATTCTTGGTGTGTGCTAAAGCAAATGCTGAGGATTATTTGCAAATACTATTTAGTCCAGGCCTTACAGTAGTATGCTATTAAAGTACTAACAAGGTATTAATTGGTTGAAAAGAGAAGAACTGAGAGAAACCAAGTGATAGAAAGCATTTACACAGTAAAGAAAGGGTGGTCATTATGATCAGTGTTTCTGAATGTGTTCCATCAGGGACAGTAACACCTATTATACAATGAGGGAGACTTCAAATTGCCTCATGTAAACCACCCTTTGCAGGCATGGGTGAGATATTGACAGTACTAATGTTCAGTATTTCTTTATCCTTTTCTTCCAGTTTATTCAAACCAAGCAAAAGGTTTTCTGTAATAAACAAATATAATATAGCCAGTGGGCAGAGCAGCCATTACAAACACCTACCCAACCAATCTTCACTTCAGATTGCTCATAACCTTTGTCTCTCACCTTAGAAATGTCCTTATCCAGTGTACTACAGGCTAGTGTTTAGCATCTTTGAATAATAGGCTGCCCTGCATCCTCCGCTCTGTAAGGGTTGTTCTGTTTTATCAGGAAAGGGCAGCAACCTCTTGTAATTGTTCTGGCTCTTTATGTTTATTCATCTGCTATGCCCTGGCATCTGTGTGGCGCATGTAGCCAGGCAAACAGGCGCCACCAGCACCAGCCGGTGAGGCGTCCACAGGTGAGCAGGGCAGACTTTGTCCCCACATGGGCTTTGATTCCCAAAGACAGACATGGCACTTGCATCCTGTGGTAAACTCATGCCCACTGTAGCTGCTGCCATGGGGGGGGAAACGGGACAGAAGGCTGGCCTATCAAATATTTATCTGTTTGCTGTTCAGTGTTCACATTGTCTGGGCTGGGAAAATGCATTATGTTTGAATCATTGCTGGAGCTGCATCAGATCAGGAAAACTGGACTCTTTGGACAGGAAAACAAATTTGTTTTGTTTTCAGGGAAAGACGGGCTGAATGTCAGTGTTATGGTAAACTTTGAATGGTGAATAGTTTTGAATTTTGATGCTGTAGAAGTAAAATGAATAACAATATAAATCATATCTGTATTTTGTCCCAAGAAAACTCGATCAAACTGCAGCTAACTGCTGCTCAAGGTAAGAGGTGGAACCTGCCCTTATTAATGCAAGACAAAAAAAATACCCCAGGCATATCTGGCAGTCATCATGGAGCTGAATGCAAGATATTGCAGGGCATCTGGAAATCTTACAGAAAGGCTGAAAGTATAATACCCTTTTGCTGTATCTCACTTCGAATACTGTCCCAGCTCAGCTCATCTGGGGGCGGCTGTGGCTCAGGAGGTAGAGCGGGTTGTTTCCTAACCAGAGGTTCGATTCCCGGCTTGTCCAGTCAGGTGTCCTTGAGCAAGACACTGAACCCCCAGTTGCTCCCGGTGATGTCACCGGTGTGTGAGTGCTTGGGAGTGCGAATGGGTGAATGGCCGAATAATGTGAAAGCGCTTTGAGTGTGTTGTGAAAGCATAGAAAGGCGCTATACAAGTATAATCTTCCCATCCTATAGCCTCCTGTGTGTGAGTGTTCCCTCTGAGATCTGGGGGAAGAGAAACTGCTCACAAAAAGCCTTTTATGTAATTTGTGAGGAACAAGCAAGGTCGATGAAATTTTTAAAAGAGAAACAAGAGAAAATGATTGTCTGTCTGTCTGTACAGTTTTGATGATGTGTGGGTTTGTTGAGCCCTAATATACTGAAATCTGACTGAGAAAGAAAGAAAAGCCAGGAAAATTATATACAGAGAGAGACAGCATTAGAGATTTATATACAGTTTGCTAAGTGCCAAGCTGGATTATCAGCATTGAAACAGAGCTTTTTGTCTAAGCTGTACAATGGGCACCAATCCATTTTTAAAATTAGAGTCCAAACTGCTGCCACTCGAGTGGAAAGCCCCATTCAAATGTCTTTAATGTAATCATATGTAAAGTGCTTACAACAACAAGTGGGCTTTGTCAGAAATGCCTTGCTTCAGTATTTCACGGGTCGAGAAGCAGATTTCATAGTTTCGGATAACTTAGTTGGCAGCTGCACTATCAATACACCACCTAATTAAAACTAGCGTATATGTAATGACCTTTAAAACTTTGTGACAAGTTGTTTGTTTGATTTGATAAAACAAAAGTGAGCCAGTACTGTTTTACAGCATGTTGCTGTTTGTTTTCCAGGAACTCCTCTTTAACCTCCAAAGAACTGATCAAATAATAAACAAGCTGATTCTATAAAGTGTGAATGGAACAGACCTTGAAAACCAGCAGATATTTGAGGCTTTTGGTAGATAAAATCAAATGTATGATTGAACTGTGGCTGGTACAGAAATGGTTTATGTTTACATAAAGGGTTGCCCTTATCAGTCAGTGCCTGCTTTAACACAGCTTATGGAGACAACAAGTTCTGGTCACAGATATCTTATGTAGGAGTCCAAATTTAACTCGACACAGTGTGATGTGTGGTAGCATCCAGGCTAGCACATCTGCTTTACAGTATCTGCACTATGCACACATCTACAATGGGATTCTCAGTGTTCAATACTACAAGCAAGCAAAACTCCCCAGGCATTACTTTGTTTTCTGCCACAAAACATGCACAGTGCATGGCTATGACACTCTTGTACAAGAGGCTCACTTTAAAATGTTATGTGAAGTATGAGTGTATGTGTAGCTGCAAGATACAACACTACCCTGTCTCTAGTCTCAACTAAAACAAATATACTGTAGTGTCAGTGATTAAATAATAAAACCAGTTTCATATGTTTCACATACAGTGAAGAACAGAGCAAAATAAAATGATGCACTCGAATAGCGTCGGCGTGGCACCATCAGCTCAACACAAGTTTCCTTGTCCTGTCCCTTGATGACCAGCATGATCACAGGTACGTATCCAGCCAGGATGCACTAGGCTCCAGTGTCAACAGTGATACTGACCATAAGAAGCTTAACTAAAATATAATGTTTACATTTCATTTAATAGGTACCCCCTAATACAATATATGACTGATGATCTGCAGCGGTAGCAGAGGAAACTCACAAGTACAACACATGGTGCCATTTGTGGGCTTTCCTGCTGCATGCCTTGGAGCTAAATTTGGTGAGGTAACACCATGTAGGGTGTAGCTCCCCATCAACAGAAGAGCTGACAGTGTATGTTTAACCCGCTTAGTCAAAGTTTGTATTGACAGAGTTCAAACAGACCCTCAAGGCAAAGGAGATATGAGCAAGAAGAGGCATTCATGTCTCATTTAGAGTCCTCCATAGGGGAAATCAGAGTCAGAAATTGGATGCTAGAAAAGAAATTACAGTCATATATGTACACTGATATTCTTTTATCACAGAGTGTCAAAGTAAAATAATGACTCAGGGATTTAAAATGAGATCTCAGCCCCGCTTTATCTGCTCAGCTCTGTGGCCCAGATACAGCTGCGGAGTGAAAAACAGCCATTCTTTTCAATGTTCAAAATGTCTGTGGATACAGGGAGAAAGTTTCTTTCCACCAAAAGAGGAAAGAAGCTTAAACAGGCCAAGCTTAACATAGATTGTTTGAAAGGAATTTGGGGGGAGTGAAGAGTTGTCGTTTTAACAGCTAAAACCATGTGCACATTCATTTTTGTGCTTCAAACTACGGGAGCGCAGCAGGGCATTCGCTTGCACTCATCATCACGGGGTTCTTGCTGAGTGCTTTAATGAACATCAATCACAGTTTTTGTGAATGACAGTCTTCAAAAAGCAAAATGATCTTTGCCAGTGGAGCTGATTGTCACAAAAACGTTTTGTATCCCTGCCCTCCAATCCACTAAGAATCCCACTGCAGAAATGTTGATGCTGTGATGGCAAATAGCTTCTCTGTGGCACAATTCTGATTATTAGTTTTAAAAAAGGAGGTGGTTGAGTTAACTATGAGGATTATAAGGCTTCTTGATCCACTTCTTGGGACATTGAGAAGTTTGAACAAGTCAGACAGTGTAGCCCTGGCATCTCCAGGCATCCACAGGAAACACACAGTAACATTGTTACTTTAGGACCTCCTGGGAGCTGATTCTCTCACACCACGTTCACACACCCCTCCATCCCTGGTCAGACGTGGGTCTGCATACGCTTCTGGAGGGGTCGGGTGAGGTCTGAGTTCTGGGAGGAGGACTGTGAGTAGTGGGAAGAAGAGGAGGCTGATGCCTTGCTGTCTTTGTCAAACTGCACGTAGCCGTCTGGCTTACTGTAGCTGCTGACACTGCTGTCGCACTGTGTGTCAATAAAAGAGCTGGAGTCGCTGAGCGAGCCACGCTGGAATTCCCGCTCGCATAGCTCAATGGAACTGCTGCCCATGCCCAGCACAAAGCGCTGGCTGTAGTCGTACAAACGGTTGGGACCTGCTCCCAGAGTGGAGTAGATGTTGGTGAAGGACATGCCTGTCGGTACCCTCTGTTTGCCAAGGGTACCTGTGTTGGTGGGGTTTCTCACCTCAGTAGTCTGATTCCCTGCCATGGTTGGCGTATGGTGCTCTTTGAAGGTATTGACGCTGTAGTAGCCATTTGTAGGGTCCTAATTGAAAAAGAAAGAAAGATTATTATTGTTATTGTTATTGTTGTTGTTTCTGTTATTATTGCTATATATGAGATTTTTTTTTCTAGATTACACACAAATAAAAATAGGAAAAAGAGGGGACAAAGAAAGAGAAGACCATCTCCTTCTTATTATGCATTTATGTGTTCTCCCAGCTCAACAGGATCCAAGGTCAAACTGGCAGTAATTACTATTCAAATTGCTGGATGAATAAGGACAGGCTGCCATGTACAAACCAAAAACAGTGGCAAAGCTTAGTGCTAGGACTTAGTCAGCCACCACACTAACCTTAAAATTATGTTTCTCGCTAATTAGGCGGGCCTTGATGATTCATACTTTGGCATCCAAACATGTCATTGCAGAGTTCACCCACAAACCAGCTTTAATTGGACCCAAACCAGTTGCAGTGTTTGTAATTTTATGTATGCACTGAAATGGTGTCTGAGAGTACAGCTGTGCCGTTTGTCTGCTCGGCTACAGGGACCGTGCTGTTGCTAACGGTCCACTTAGGGCATGTGTGCTTGTGTGTATTTTTTATGTCCCGGTGTGAATAGATGTGAATGTCAAGGATAGCAAGCGTGATGGCAGATCCCAAAGGAAGAATGTTCATAATGGGGAAATGAGAGAGACAACCTGAGAGGATCCTTGTTATGCTTGTCATTATCAGACAGCAGACAGGGAGATTGTTTGCTTCTGGCCTTTGTCTCTTGTTCAGTCCTGCCTCTGCTTTCACCTCATGCATGCTGTCATTAACTAGGATTAAAAAAATAAAAAATCTGGCTCCAGAAGGAGCAGGTAAACGGGGAAACAAAACAAAAGCACACTCCGGGGAGCCAACAGCAACTTTGGTTTGCACAAGCAAACAGGAAAGAATTTGTTTCTGTGACAGTGATAGGCTTCAGCATACACAGTTTGAATGTACACCACCTATGTCACCTTGCTCATATAGATTCACTACAGTGGTATAATCTTTGTTAAATATAATTGCAATGTAAAAATTTGTCTGCAGTCTTGTTGACAAGAATGCAGGTCAGAGGTGGAATAAACACCTGCTGAGATGCTCTGCTGTGCTTGATTTACTGATGCATTTACATAAAACACACCAAGGGAGTTCTTCTGTAGTAAACACTTTGACCACTTATTTGAATAACTTGAACAACAATTTCTATGTACATACTGCGAATTTTTGTTATATAAGAACAGAATATTGGAAAATCATTGCAGACAGGCTTTTAAAATGCATTTTAAAACGGTCTAAGGAGAATTTTTATTTATTTACTTTTAATTTTTTCCTACTTTATGTGCGTTACTAACTCATTTGAATGAAAAACCTGCACAACAGGTAATTTTAGAAGTCACCGGTGTGACACCAACAGGATAATTCTGACAGAGAGGGGAAGGTGGTCATCTTCTACCAGAAGCCAGGCAATGAAAATCCTTGATACAGGATTCTACAGTCTGCCAAATCACGTGCGTGTCATTTAATGCAAGAGTTACAAGTGGTAAAGCGGTTTCATGTGCAGTGGGAGAATTGAAAGCAAAGTGCCTCATCTGTACAGACTGATCTATTCCCTGCCAAGTAAATGGGTGGACAGCTATACATAGCACTGAAATCCTTTTTATTATATTCATTGAATCCTGGCTTCACTGAATAAGTCAAATTTGGCTGGATCTCACCATCATATGTAAAGAACCAGCTCGCTTATTAGGCTCCTAAAGGATTAGGGGGGAAGGACTATTGATAATAAAGGATGTACACACATATTGAAGAGTGGATGGCGTACCTCGGGTCAGACTCATAAAGCATATCACATTTCTAAATATAGCATGGGCTGTCTCCCACATGGACCCCAGTCTTTCTCACCATTTAGTGGTGGTGATTAAAATTAGTATTCTGTAGCTGCTTGTAAATATTAAATCACTGACAGTAGATACAGTGTCTAAATAGCATAGCATTATGTCTCTTACTGAATCTCAGCAAATATTTTTCCAAACAGAGATTTTACTTTGAAATTCAGGATTGCTAATTCACATGTGAACTACAGCACAAATTTTCATTTTAATTTGCTTTGCTACTAGCTACAAATGTAAACTGTTTGCTCTAACAGAAATCAAGGAAGAACTAATGAATTAGTTTAGAAGTCTGGAATAGCAGAGTATATTTCAGTAAAACCAAAGACTTCACAAGCACACATATTGTAACTTACAAAAAACCCCGCACTGAGACCAAAAATAAAAGAAAGAGAGTCACATGCTGTGTATCCGTAGTCAAGCTGGCATAAACTGAAATGTTCTGGACAAGATGTGCTAAATAGACTGAATAAAGGTTTATCTTCAGGTCCCAGCGGCTTTGCTCTGTCAGATAACCTATTTATATGAGCAGAATGCTTCTTTAATGCTTTTAAAAATTTGAAAAAAGGCAACAATATCCCAAATGGAGAGGCTACAAATGCTGCTGCTGACTGAGCAAAATCGGAAAATCTAATAAATTACCAGCACTTTCCCCAGTCCTACAGCATTTGCTCTTTAAAACATTCCAAACACGCCTACAGTATAAAGTATAAGTAACAACTTGAGCAACTTAAATAACAGCTTAAGGGACAACAGCCTCTGATTTCTTGAACTACTGCTGATGAGAGACTAATTAACAGAATTAGACCTCTGACAGGAGTCATTTTGCTTCTGGACTTATCCTCGGATAGCTGGAGATGGGTTTTTGCTTTTCAGATATTTTGGTCCCAGAGTTGAACACTGCCTTTCCCAAAGGCCCACTTTTTTCACCACTTTTCACTTAAGTTCTTCTGCATTCATGCACTCGTGCTGGCGTTGTTTCATGAGCCATACCTTAATGTGCTGATACTCCTTCTCTTCCTCTTGTAATACCTCCAGCTGCTTCAGAACCGATTCCTGTTGGAACTCTCCTCGTTCAACCTGCACAGAAGTCAAAGCCAAGGTATTCTAAGTATATTCTTCCACTTGGGGTTTTAAAAAAAAATATAAGATAGAAATATTTCACTTTTACCACTTGTTCTTTTTTAATATCAGCCAGACATGTTTCGTCTTCATTCAGGGCTGACAGGGAGCATTAATAATGTATCTGTGAAGATCTTTTATTTATCTTAGCAAAATGCAGACTTGTGAAGTAGCTAAGCTCATTTCTCTGCACTAACATCAACTATGGATTGTATTAAATATTTTGAATGGAAATGTACAGCAATCCAAAACCTCAAACTACAAATAGCCCAGCCTTGGAGCGCACGGCATGAAAACCAAAACGCTGGTAGCGCTTCAAAGAGGAAACAGATTTTTGTGTATCTAGAAGGCATGTGCAGAATGTGCCAGCATACACCATAGTTACAGTGCATTGCATTGTACCATAGGACTACTGGCACCATATTGTAGCTCCTGTGCCGTGACTACAGCACATAAACAATCTACATTCCTTTTTGTTCTTCCATTACTTGTAAAAAAATGGATTCCACAGGAGATACCAGTCACTAGTAAAGTGCACCCATTACATTACTGTCAGCTTTAAAAGGACATATAAAAATATGAAAAACAATGTTGAGATCTTTTTTTCTAACATGAGCAAGAAGTGGAAAGTAGTATGTTGTGACACTCACACTCACCATCAGTTGTTTCATGGAAGAGTGTTCTTCATTTTCTCGTGCTGCATTGTGGTCTTTGTGCACAATCTCCACGCGAATGTCATTTTTCGCCGACACAACTCCTTTCAGATCTGGCAGAAACAGACGACATGTAATATCTCAATAAGCTGGATAAACACCATTCTGTATTTGTTGACATTATAATTTCCCCCAGTGCAGTTTGCAATACTACAGAATTTAGCAAATATCCCTGGATTTGGTTTGTGAGAGCTCCCCCATTTCCCGTAAACAATACAAAAGCATTATTAATCATTTGTTTCCTGCCAACACAAGATTATCTTTTTCTGCATGCATATGCAGTCTCACACCTTCCACGGTGGTTCATTCTGTCTGGGACAATGTTGATGATACTGCCATATAACAAAGTCTTACTTTCTGTTTTAATTTTGCTTGCAAGTTCTCTCTGGTGAGCACAGATGGAGACGGGCAGTGAGGGCATAACCAGGTGCACTTCCTCTGTAGTATACAGACAATAGACATGCTGAAGGGACCAGTAGCACAGTTTTGTTTCTGGAAAGAGACAGTGGCTGACTGTCTCTAACCTGAGTCACTTGGTACATGGGTGGGTGGCAGTGAACATAGCGCATGGTGTATGTAAATAGCCTGAAAAGCAAATGCAGCCAGACTGAGATTGCATGAAATGAACCCTCATCACAATCTGGCGATCTCTGCACCACAAAAAGATGTCCATCTGAACAAGTGGTTTCATCTTGTATTGCAGCAATTAATGTTGTGTCAGACATTTCTTAAAGACGCTGCCAGTGTCTTGATCTCATTTGTCTTACTTGACCTATCCACAACCAAAATTACTTAATTTTTCTATTTGTCTGAATAAAAACAGAATCTACATAGTGTAGATGGACATGTTTTAGTGTACTCGGGGACCATGCAGCACTTTGGCATGCATGCTTCAGTGGAAGTAACAGGGAAGAGGAGGCATACTTCTCTGCGAGCGGGTGCAACAGAATGCTCCAATGGTGCCCATGAGGACAATGAGGGCCACAAAAGCTCCCACAGCAATGCCGATGATCACAGCCACCGGGAGCGATTCTGCAGAGAGCAACAAAGAGACATGTCCTTCTACAATAACACACCAAAAACACCTCAAATGTACATTAAATTCAATATACGGTACATGACAGGAGAGTACACAACAGAACAGAGTCATAATGTAGAGGCCACCTTTCTCTTTCTGGCACCTACTTTCCCTTATCTCTCCCTGTTTTCTGTCTCTGCACACTAGAACTAAGGGAAGATGTGCTATATTTTATCCCTCTAAGTGACTTGGACATTATCCCTCAGGCACAAGGCCATGTAATAAAATCACAGGCACAATGCCACAGAAAAAATGTTCTGTGCTGTATGTCCAAATAACATCAAATTCAAATGAAAACTAATTACCAAACCTTTGTTATCAGTGCGGGTAAACATTTTCCTACTAATATTGTCTCATTACCCTACTGTGTAATAACTTTTAATTTAGACTCATTTAGGTTAATAGAAGCATTTCACTGTGGGCTTTTATTTTCATTGAATAGAGTGCAAGAGTGTGTGCATTAGTTCAAGCATAATCATGTTTGTGTGTTTCTGTGCAGATGTTATAGTGCATTAACAAGTAAAAGGACATTAAACCTGCAGGCACACATCTATATGCTCCTCCAACATTAAAAGTCCTTCTTGGATTTTAAACTAATGAAAAACAACCAAGTGCTCTTCCTTCACCATTAAAGCCTATTTATTGTATTCATTATTATTCACTTTTACATAAGCAGCTTATAATTTATTATTTGTGATAAATGGATCATAAACACAGCTTCCCCTGTGGTAGGGGGGAAAAGGTCAACGGAAGAAAAGTGCTCATTTTTAAAGCAAAAGAAATATTTAGGTGTATTTTATGTTCAAGACTAGGGATGCACCTGTACCAATACCAGTACTGATTCATTTTGATGTACTAACCCATACTGTACATACCAGGTAAATCAGTCAGTCAATCAATCAATCAATCAATCAATCAATCAAACAGCCAAGGAGGGGCACTCACAGAAACACACAGTAAAGACGAGACAATGCTCAACATCCATCCATTCATCTTCTACACCGCTCAGTCCCACAATGCTCATAATGCAAAACAAAATCTGCCATTCCAGGAGACAGTACGAGCTATTTATCAAGCACTTGTTGTACGAGTTACAATGAGAAAACTTTCTGCAACATACCAGTTGTGGAAGACGTACTCAAATTGTAACAATACTACAGTGTAAAAATGCTGTTACAAGTAAAAGGTCTTGATTAAAAATGGCACTTAGGTAAAAGCACAGAAGTACTGGCACAAAATACATTTAGGGTACCACAAGAAAAAGTACTCATTATGCAGAATAGCACATGCAATGAATATCATATTGTTGGATTATAATTACTGACACATTACTGTTTACATCACATTTTTATGTCCCAGCTGGTAAAGGTGGAGCAAATTTTAAGTCTTGATTAAAAATGGCACTTAGGTAAAAGCACAGAAGTACTGGCACAAAATACATTTAGGGTACCACAAGAAAAAGTACTCATTATGCAGAATAGCACATGCAATGAATATCATATTGTTGGATTATAATTACTGACACATTACTGTTTACATCACATTTTTATGTCCCAGCTGGTAAAGGTGGAGCAAATTTTAACTAGCTTGCATACTTATATTTTGAAGTGCTGCTGGGCATTTTGTGACTTTCCTACCAGGGATCAATAAAGTCAGATGATGATACTGTATTCTGTATAATTATTCTAATTCCAAAAAGTAACTAGTAGCTCAAGTATGAAGTATCAGATAATAAAAACACTCAAGTAAAGTTCACATACCTCAAAATTGTACTTAAGTACAGTACTTGATAAATGTACTTAGTTACTTTCCACCACTGCACATAACTGTTGTATGAATGTAATTTATTTATTGTACAATAAATGTATTTATTGTACAATAAGATCCAATTTATGTGCCCACTGATTTTACTCATCTAGTGATTTGTTTTTCCTTGTTAATTACTCTTGGCAAATTAGTAAACAAATCCTATCACAATTACTTACACATTCACACTGGTACACAAAATGTACAGTGACAACTCTCACAAACACCACAGCTGTTTCAATATCTACCATCTACTACTATCTAGAATACCGCAGTCATGTGATTTGAAGAAGAGGAAGGTGAAACCTGTCGAACCTTGGCTCCCACCTTGTTCCTTAAGGCGTATGATCTCAGTGTCAGAGCCAAAGCTGTTCCAAGCAGTGCAGTTGTAGATGGTCTGGAAGTCAGCTGGGACAATGTTACTCATGGTCAGCGTGGAGATGACTCCTTCTTCTGTGGTGACCGTCTCCACAGTGTAGCGCCCAGATGTCCCAGACTCCAGCACAGTTTCCTTCCATGACCAGGCCTAAGAAAAAACAGAGGGTACAGAAGTGATACCTGATATGTCAAGTTGTTGTCCATTAGTAGCACTGTAGAGCAGCAACGTTTTATGTATTTATTTGAGTGGCTTTTTGTATTGTGTGTATCTTGTGATCAACCGATACAGCTCTGTTTTCGTCTGATATAAGGTGTATGAATTACTGTATTACTGCACAGACATTAGCTGATTTGTTGAGCTCGGTGATTTAGTGAATTCTCAGAGGGAAATGGATCACTGGAAATACATACAATTCTATTCTCCTCTGGATGGTTAAAAACAGTGTGCTATGGTTAAAAATGTTGTGGTTAAATTAGTTTTTTTGTTAACTGGCCCCATTTGCTGCTCCCCATCTCTGTTTGACCAGCTGCCAGCTCGCTGAGATATCTCCGGCATCTGTAGACTGAGCTAATGTCTAATGGACAATAACAAATTGCACATACTCTAAGCAGATCTCTTCTTACCATAGTGTCTGAACTACTGTGCTTTCTGGCTCTGGCTGTTGAGACACTACAGTATGCAACTATTTAAATAGCAGTTGTTGCTGTAAATCTGAGGAATATAAGAAAGTGGGTCAATGCAGGTACTGTGCATTATGTTAATATAGTACAATGGCAAAAAGAACAAGATAATATTATCTTAAATTAAACTACAAATTACATATAAAAACAACAACAAAAATGATTGTAATGAATTTGGTATTTCTTAAGAAGCACAGTTACTTGAGGAAAATGTTTACATTGTAATCTCCTCTTTCTTTATGATTTTAGGCTATATAAAATTAAATAACCTGACTTCTCATAACCACATACATCAGTTCTATATTGTCTTGCAGTATATAGCAGCTAACGCTATTTCCCATTCACACACACACAAAAACTCACACTAGTGGTTCAGGACAATTTGATATGCAGACTGAAAAAGCCAGGGTTTAAGCCGCTTGTGACACATGTACATACTGTAATAAATTAGCACATGCACATCAGTAATATATGCACTACAAAAATATTGGAATCTTTTTACCGTTCACATATCTTGGATGTATTACAGAAATGTCTGAGGTATATGTGGTGGTATTTGTGATACAGTCTGTGGATGTAAGTATTTTTTTTTTTTTATTTAGGCCATTTCCTTGTGCAAACTTTGTCTGCTTTGTAATGTATACATTTACATTTCTTTCAAATAAATTAACATTTGTCTCATTTGCATTTTTGACAGACATGAACTAACGCTACAGTATGTAATTTTTTTCAAATCCTTTAGTTATATTAATATTCTCCAAAACCTGTCTTAATGTGGCGAGGTCGAAGCCTCCTGTGACCCAGACTCAATGAACCACACTGGTAGCAGTGTAGAGATATTAGCTTCTAAAAGGTTTTGAGCAGGATTGACCTCTCCAGCAAATCAGAGATTTTCATTTCTTTCCTCTTGGTCAGCGAGTTTTGTTGTATTCTCATTTATTTCATAAGGACAAATATCTGAAAAACAAGGCAGAGCATAGCAGATCGTAATAGAGCCTAGAGGAGCAAGGAGAGGAGGTGCTAGGTGGAGCAGAGTGGGTCGAATTGGAGTTTGATTCTAGCGCTACCTTAAATTACATACTGTAGCTTTAAAAAGAGTATCTTAAAAATATTTTGAAATAATAGCTATATGAAATGTCAAAAAGCTACATCAACTGGAAATTCTGATGTGGAGATGTACCAACACTGGCAGTGCTGTGGTGAGAGAAATGTAGGAAAACAACAGACATTTGCGTACACTGAATTTATTTATGCAGTGCTATGATAATTTAACACATTCCATTGTGTGGCTGCTTTTGTTTGAGGCGTCTTAGCACAGAGTGCATTTGTTTTGGGCGACTATGATGAGAAAAACAGTAAATTGTTCATTTTTGCTAAATTTTTACTAACAAATGATGAAATTCATTATACAGGATACACAGCGAGAAGACAAATTGGTACCCATTCACCTTCAAGCTTGCAGTAACAGACAGGTGGCTCAACATGATACATGAAAATGCAGTGTTGCACTGTTACTAATGGTGCTTTGGTTCAGGTGTTTTGCTTTATTATGATGTAAAAGCATTATGTTTATTGACTTCCAGGGTACAAAATGATTCAAGTGAAGAGATTCCATTGTCCTTATCAAAGCTCTCAGGATTAAAGATGTTGTACATTGTAATCTCCTCTTTCTTTATGATTTTAGGTTATATAAAATGAAATAACCTGACTTCTCATAACCACATACTGTACACCAGTTCACAACTGCAACTTAAATAAATAGCTTAGAATCAATAGATAAACATTTAAGAAACAACAGCCCTGGCCTCCAAAGGCTAACCTCTCATATAAACCTGATATTAATTATGTTAGTCGTTAATGCTGGACATCAATATAAAAAAAGAAAAAGATGACAAAGTATGCCAATTAACCACACACATAAGCAAATATGCACACACATATACACACACAAATTAATAAGCACTCAGAGAGAAGATTGTTTATTAAAGTCCATAAATCTTAGTGGTATCGGTGCTAACAGAGCATAAGTGAGCATTAAATGAAAAACTGTGGTTCAACCTGTAGTTTCATGCCCATCTTTTCACATTAAAACACATGATGGACCTAATGTTATAAAATTCTTAAAGGTTTTATTTGTGGGTTCTGTTCGTGTAGTTAAATTTTGTCAAAAAAAAGTATTCAGAATATTTGATTTCTATTGTTCAGGTGTCATATCCATAAAATGCCTGTTTATGATCACGTTGTTAGTTGTGTTCTTGTAATAAAGTCAAAGTTGAGACAAAGGTGAAATTTCAAAAACAGTTCAAATGTACTTACAATACGGTCTGGAGGAGGTGTACTTCGAATGAAACACTTGATTTGTCCTTTTTCGCCATGTAAAGCTTGCTGAGTCTGCGTGCTGGATATAGTAGGTGGCCCTGAAAAAGAACAAAAAAAAAAAAATTGATGATGAGTCACGGATACTGAAACATGAATAAATCAATTCTTTATCAGTTACATGTCATATGACAGTTCTGCTCAGTTGAGTTCTTGTGGTGCATTATATTGTAATCACTCCCTTGTTCCGAGTAGTAACACCTGAAGTGTTCGGTAATTCGGGACTTCTGAGGAACACTGAATTGCACTGCGGTATGAAAATGCTTCATTCCTCTGTACAGTCTTGCCAAGGACACACTGGGACTGAATGAAGGGCATAAGTGGCAGCCCAGACCTCATTCTAGATCAAGAAATTGTTGATTTATGGCTGGCTTGATTTCTCCGACTGAGATAAACATTGCTGGAGAGAGCTACAGCAGTTCTTTGGAGCTCTATCAGGACAACACAGATGGAAAGAGAAAAATGCCATTGTGGTGAGATAACACATTTGTTGCAGTGTTTCACCTCAGTCAATTTGCTTGCAGCAGATCTGAATCCCGAACCAATAGGTCAACACATAACTAAACATCAGTGCTCTATAAATGCACAATCCAAAAGACAGAAGATCAGAATATTTAATTTGACATTGTACTTTATATTATACTTTTTAAATCTATGAAATATGTTGTCTATAATTCATGGTTTGTTCAAAATAAGTCTGATTAAATGGAGTAGCTTTACTGGAATTAGGAAATATGTAAACAGGGCTAATTCAATCAACAGGAGCTGCAGGTATGGATTTGAAGCCAGCATGTGTCAAACCATGGTCAGGCTACAAGATCTAGCCTGACAAGGGCAGCTCAGCCTAAACGACTGGTCTGCTTGCCATCTGGTCTGGAGGCTGTTCACACCAGGTGACAGCACTAATATGACGACAAGGTGTCACACATGACCCACTGTATTTTTGCTTTGGTCCTGAAAGGCTCATTCAGGTGCTAAAGTAAAATTACACATAAGAAAGGTTCTGAGGCAATTGTGTACATTTACATTAACAGGACTAGAATAGCACTATGAAGGGATTTTGTATGTTATGCATATGTTCATTTTATTTTATACACGGCTATGAAGGCAGCTGGTAATCTTGCTGATTCAGAAAAACATGACTATCTACATAAGGTGTATTTTTGTTGTACGTAGCTTCATAATTTTTTTTGATAGACATATTTGTTTATTTGATGTATGCTGTATGTTTGTAACTGCAGGTTTTAGAATGTTTAGATTTTTTTGCACTTTTGGATGGGTGTTCCCACCATTTGAAATCTCATAGCGAAACCTTTATTTTCTTACATTTAGAAGCTAAGTTTGAGAAGCTCCTACAAAATAACACCAGGAAAGGTTTCTATGCCATCCTTTTTTACTCTGTAAAAAACTCTTTAAAAAGCAGTTAAAAGCAAACACAGAGTAAGTAGCTTGTGATACTTAAGGTTAAGAATGTGGGTTTGTGGGGGAGGCAAGTAAGACTGCTTCATGATTAGTGAGACAACTCGCTTCCCTGCCAACTTCCCTCAAACTCCTGCTCTCTGCCATCTCTCTGACAATACATAATTGCAGTTTATTACCTGTCTCTTATTAAAATGAATTAGCATTTTAATGAGACTTTTCCAGATGGCGTCTTGGTATGCTACTGGAGGATGCTGGAAGCCTTCTACTGCCGCAGAATGAATGCTGCAGACAACCGAAGAAAAATGTATTGAAAGTTGGTCCTCATCTTTCACAGGTTTGCCAACATGGAGTGATGGTATTCATGTAAGAACATTTGTAAGTCCAATGCGCATCTGATTAGAAGATGAAATCTAACGTATTCGGTGTATATGAGTGCTGGCTGTCAACATATAACAAAATCAATTGCTTGCATGCTGTAAAAGGCCAGTGGTAGTAGCTGTGCAGGATCTATTCTATGGATCAGAGCTGCAAATATGGAATGTAATTAGATAGTTTTATCTCCCTGGCTCAGCTTGGGTTGAAAGTGTGTGTACATGTGATTGCCAACTTGCACTGTGTGATCAGAGCATAAACATGTTGGTAGTGGGCAGGTGGGTGGCACTACAACATCAATGTTAGCAGCAGGGGTGGTAATAATGTTGGGTGCAATGTTTTGCTCATTCATTTGAGGAGATGTTAACTCTGTAGTGGACACTGCAATCTGATTACACAACATCAGCGTGGGTGTTTAAAGGCTAGGGCTCAGCGTTTCCTTCCTAAACTGAGGCATCCGCTTTGGAGAAAAGCTTGACATTTCCTCAGTCTCAGTGCAGCTCTTTTGAGTCTTCTTTCATTTTGTGAAAAAAGAAAAGCAACAAAGCGATTACTTAGCATCATCACTGGTGGTCACTTTTTCCTCTGAGATAAATCTATGGTGAGGAGTATATGCTGAAGCTGCCAACCAGTTCTTATCATAATATGTAGTGAAGGTACAGTGTTTAAGATTTAGAAGGATTTATTAAGAGAAATGGGCTATAGTATGCAAAATTATGCCTTCAATAATATGTAATTACCAGAAAATAAGACTTGTTGCATTTTGTTTATCATAGAATGAGCCTTTTATAACTACAGAGGAGCGGGTCCCCTATCATGGAGGCTGCCATGTTGAACCACCATGTTTTTTACAGCAGCCAAAATGGAAAAAGCACATGTTGGCATTAGAGCATGAATTTAGCATGTTCACATTGAAGTAGCAGCTTGGATTTTGAGATGGTTGGAAGATGAAAAGAAGTAACATTAGAAACAAAAGGAATAATCCCTGTCATCAAAGAAGCAAAGGTAAAGAGATTAGATGACATTAACTGCACTCAAGCTAGCCGCTGTTCAACTTTTGTTGCGCTTCTTTTCATGCGGTATGGGTGCTTGGAGTGGCCAAAATGGATGATTAAAGTCTGTGTAAAGTGTTTACTAATAGGCCTAACAAATAAAATGGCATTATTATACATCTTACTGTGTGTGTATTCAGCCTTCTGGACAATTACACAATTACACAGAGGTCAAGTAAGCCACAGTTAGCTTTTGCTTCATCAAGCCAGTCACGTTTGTTTTCCGAGCTAATTGCTGTGAAACAGCTGTAAAAGCTGTTTATCACAATGTATGAAAGCTTTGCTGAACATTGAAATCTGCAGCCTCACTGCTAGATGTCACTAAATCTCACACACTGCACCTTTAACAATGTATTAACAATTTTGTTAAATTAAACATACCAGTACAACAAATGTAAATACAAGGTAGCATACTTGTTTAAACATTTGAAATGGAAAACTAATAATGCAAACAAATAGTGGCTATACAATTTCCATCAGAGTACTGCAGTAAGTTCTTACCTCACACAGTCAAGTCATATTGAAATGTGTCCACACAAGAGAAAAGAGACAAATACATGTTGGTTGGTGTGAATGAGTGTGCTGTTGTCTACGTTGTTGTCTATACACTATATGAAAGTGCAAGGCTCAGGGAGAATCATTGCTGCTTATATTACAGTAATCTTCCTGCTGTTTTATTGCAGCTGTACTATATCACCATACCAATAGTGAGTCAGAGTGGATGTGGAGCCACAAATAAAATTAATAATTTTATCTGTGTCTCTAATTGGTCAACTAAGGTTGCCTTCATCTCTTCTGTAGAAACACACCCTAAACACTCCGACAGCTTTACCTCATTTGCCTTCAGCTCAAGACATCTTTACAACAGGGAGTCAACTGTTTTTTCTCCCTACTGTTTTTCCTGCATGCAGCATGATTCATTCCATACTGTATTCACTTCACATTATGAACTACAGGCACAAGCAAGAAACACTTATAACACTAATATATATAAACGAATATGTTTTTCATAATGTGAAGTGAAGACAGTATGGATCATGCTGCACACAGGGAAAACAGTGGGGAGAGAATACAGTCCGCTCCCTGTTGTGAAAATGTATTGAGCTGAAGGCAAATGTGGCGAGAGAGTGAAACCTTTGAAGGGTGCTGAAAGCATGATTTCAAATCAATACTTTAATACCGGAACCTCTGACTTACTCTATGTAACAAAACCATAAACCATCTGGATCTGCCGCAAAAACAGTATACAAGATTAGAATTCAACAAACGAGAGCCTCTTGCTTGCATTATGTATGTACACAACAATTCATTTTGAGAAACACAATAGTTAATAGTCTCAAAGTGATTAGCCATTGCAATGTCAACACTTGTGTTTGTGTGGAATATCCTTGAGAAATTTGGTCCTAGAAAGGTAAAAACATGTCTAGTATGAAGATTAGCTTACTTGACAATATATTATACAGGGTCATTTTTGTCCATAATTGCAAATTCATGATGCTAAATGCATGATCAAGAGTATGCAAAAGCACTATTGTCCACCAATGAAACAAGAGTGCAAAAAAAACAAAAATAGCATATAGTCTGTGTTGAAATTGTGGGTTCTGTGACACAAGTTCTTAACTATTTGACCTGGTGAAGAGTTAAGTTAACATGAAACCTATTGACTATTGAGGTGCAACCTGAGTTCTACTTTGCTGCTTGTTTATTTATACACTACCTACTCAGGTCAGTGGGTGTACTAACGATGACTTCTCAAACATTAAACCATCCTTGGACAAATAAAGACCCTTAAAGCTGTTGGGCTTTAGCAATCATATGAGCCTATAATAAAAGCTAAACATCTGAATGAACCATCTTGATAAAAAACACACATTAAACCTTTAAACATAGTGAGCAAATATTTTTCACACATAAAACTAGAATTACCGCTTCATGGTTACATGCCTCCACCAACCTGTCAAATTCACAAATATGGGACAGTGAGGTCACTGACCTTGACCTTTGACCACCAAAATCTAGTCCAAGTGGACACTTGTGACAAATTTGAAGAAAATCCCTAAAGGTGCTCCTGAGATATCATGTTAAAAAGAATCAAACAGATTTAGAGACAACCCAAAAGCATAATGCCTCCGGTCAAAGCTATCGTGAGGCATAAAAATTGCGCCTGGGCTAAGTAGAGACACTGCATGTGACAAGGATACATAATGGGAAATGTGGGTTAAAAGTCTTAGACAAAGTCTTGCAGATCATATCTTACTATGCTCAAAATCAAATAAAATGTGCTGCATTTTAAGTACAGTTTTCTCCTTCATTACATTGCACTTTTTCTTTTGTATATGTGTCATTACCAGCTTATAGAAGGCAGGAATAATAATTGACTGGGCACATAAAGGCTGTGTAGAAAGAGAAACAGTGGAAAAAAGGATTTATAAGAAGTGCACTGTGGGATATTGGGCTATCTCCCTTCCCTCCCTCTTCCTTACAGCGGTAATGGGCTTTCTCTCCCTAGGCTGCCCAAGTACTGTATGTATGTCATTATACACACTGCTTATCCCAAAGACACACATACTCACAAACACAAATGAATGTTCAGGTCTACTCACACACATAGATATATTAATTACTAGGTATGGCATGAATATAGGTAAATTTTTTCAAGCATGTCAGATAACTTTTCTCAATTCCAACCTCTGCAGGGCTGTGGAAAAAGCCATACATATATTTTGTATGCTATATAAATAATCACACGCATGGCTGTGCACAGCCCCGGTCCCTACTAGAATCCACTTGATGGCTGCATATGAAATGCTGGGGAACTTTATATTCTGAAAATGTTCGACTAGAGTAAGCAATATGTATCCATTAGTGACTTAAACACATACTGCCTCCCCTGCTAGCTGTTTGATTATAATTCAATTACATTCTTCCCTAGGGAAAGCTGGAATCCTCATGTCTATGTGGTATGCCACAGTGGGAGCCAGTGACACACAAAGGCAGAGGGAGAGACAGTGGGAATGACAAATTATAAACACATGTAATTTAAATGATGGCATTAAGGAATAGGGGGATGACTGCAGGGAAAACAAACAGCAAAGGCGCATTCTCATGTGCGGCAAACACCATCATATCATGAGTACTTTGATTCTGAATATGCACAGCATTTGCCTGTGATATTACCGGATCATAGTCGCCTCCCTCTGAAAAGCTCGTTCATCCGTAATGTTAGATATTCATTGTCAGAATCAATTGAGTTCTGCAGACTCTCAGTGATGTTGAGCTTAAAGGTGTCTGAGAAGTAAGGAGTGTTCACATTCATATGCAGTTCAGACGGTGGCATTGGACAATCAATTTCTATTATTCAGAAAAGCTAAAAAGGAAAGAGGCTTTTGAATGTCAAATCTTAAGTCAGGCAGGCGGGTGCGAGGTGCAAACGAATATAAGCAAATAAAATGACTAGAAGTCATCCAGGACTTGCTTGACTGAAGTCTGCAGAGATTAAATAAACATGCCATTTCAGCTTTGTTGGTTGTTTCTCAGTGTACTTGAAGTTGTGCTGTGTTATAATCTTTATTAAAACAGTCCATCATCTCTCTCTCATGGCATCATTTTCAATCTCCACAGTTACATGAGCAGAAAAGAGATGCATCAAAATAAACAGGTACATTGGATATTATGTATTCTGTTAACATATTAAAGCTGCAGCAAAGGTTGCTATCGACCTAATGGAAGACAACAGAATTAGTCATGATTTTGCCTTATTTCTGCCTTGACTTCAACTGAAGTCCTTGTTCAGAAAGAGGAAGCTCATTTCATTTTATAGAAAGCTCTGATTTTATGCTGGTACTGTATCCTCTCTGATATGTAAAGCAAACGTCTGGATTTTGAAAAGAAAATCTTTACACACACTGTTTGCTACTTGTTGTATCTTCATCCCCGAATCAGCAACAGTATTGCTTACAGGCAAATGCTTTTGTTAGCTTTCAAAATGTACACTCATACATGTCAGCGTTAATTCAAAATCATCTTGCCAGCATCTTAAAGCCCTCTCACTGGTGTTGTTTGTTTTGTTCTGTTTTTTGGCCCACGTTTCTTTCAGATGGACACAAGGAAAATAAGAGACATGTAAATCCCACAACTAAGAACCTCTGCCACACTGAAGCATGCTCCCTGAATATCAAGCACTGATAATGAAGTCATTTGTTTGAGAGTTGCCAGGTCTCCCACCAACGCTGGTATTCATTAGTCAGTCAGTGCCTCAGAAAAGGCAGCTTTCCTGTGACTCATGCAGAATATAATTAGCATTTAAGTTTATTTCACCTGTTTATGAAATGTGCGAGTCTATCTTGAAAAGACTAAGTCTATATTTATTGCTTTTCATCATTAAAGGCTTCACAACGTTCACACTTAATGAAACAGCTTTGTTTTTATCACGTTATATTTGTCAGGAAAATGTAATTTGCATGGGCCTGCTAGGTACCATGTGTTGTTTGATGGCTTGTTTTGTTACTACTGTATTCCTGCCTGGTAAAATTAACCTTGTCTCCAAGACGCTGCTCTACCAAAAAACAACAACAACAAAAAAAACAAAAAACAAAAAACTTTACGACAAATAAAGCTGTATATTCTTTTGGAAGCTGTACACATGGCAGGCTTTTTGTAAACCACAGAGGAAGCACAATACTGAGTCCTGTGACAAATTGCTTTCTTCTTGCCACTGTAGATCTCAAGATTCATGCTTGGATGTGTATGCATTTGACAACTTTTTGGGCCTGTTTGTTTGAAAAAAAAAAAAAAAAAACATATCCACCTTACCATTGACAGTGAGAGAAACCTCCTTCTCTCCTGCTCCTACACGTGGGACCACAGCACGGCAAACATATTTCCCAGCATCCTCCTGTCTCACGGATTTCAGCGTCAGGAGGTTCTCATTGCTAAGAACCTAAGGCAAAAAAAAAAAATTCAAAGATCATCAAATGCAATGACAGTAAAGACACCTGTGCATTTTTGATAGCAAAAAGGCAGCACTATGGGGGGACAGCATGGCAGCACACAGCCCATTTAATAACTTAAAGGGCACCTCTTTTCAATTATTAAAATCCAATTTAGGGTCTGAGTTCAGTGGAGTATAAGGGCTGGCTTTGGCCTTTGATGTTAACAAAAGGAAAGGTGAAATGAGTCAGATCAAAAGATCTCGAGTAAAAGCAGGTCACCGAGATGCTGGGACAGTTATGGCTTCAAAGTTCTAGGTTTAATGAATATTTCAAAACACATAGCTATGAGTATTTCATATAGGAAACATGGAGGCTCTAGAATCATAGAAAGTTTCAAATAGACGCTTTGTCAGAGATAAACAGTCTTGGATTTATCAAATGTATGTAAGAAAAATACATAAATAAAATGAACGGAAGCAATGCAAATCAATATACTAACCACTCCAGACCCCCTCTTCATCCACACTATGGTAAGAGACGGATTTCCTGTCCATGCACAGTTGAACACGACATCAGATCCAAGGTCCACCTGCAAGGACTGAGGCTCCGCTGCCATCCGAGGACCAACTGTTGAAATAAACATTAACTGTCCTTGACTCATCCATAATTAAACATCAGTACTTGCAGCTCTGTGTCAAAATATAAAAGATAGCAAAAATCCAAAGTTGTGCTTAATCACGTTCCTGACATCACTGAGAGAAATATGGTTTTGTTAAGGTGCTACTCACAGTAAACATCAACGCTGCGGCTGATGTTGGTGCTGCCGAGAGCATTGGTGACCTCACAGGAAACGGGTTCTGTAAAGAAGGAGTGGTCCACAATAACCTCATATGTGTCTCCAGAGACCTCCTTGATGATACTGCCTCCTTTGGCCCATCTGGTGTGAGGATTAGAAGGCAGGGAATGAAGAGATGGGACAAAATGGAGAAAATGAAGGAAAAGTGGAAAAGACATTAAGACAGGTTTTCACAACTTCTTATGTCAATAGCATTCTTTTTTATGAATAAATCATCATTCTTAAGCAGGTTTTCTGTGCTGGCTTCAGCGTATTTTTGTGGCAGCCCTCCATGCTGTGACAAGCTCCCCGGCGACTCGGAGCAGACAGCACGTTCCTCATTACGCCAGACAGAGAGTGCAGCAAAGAGTGCCAGCTAAGAAAAACAAATCACAGAATGACAAATGGGTAGCTCCTCCACCTTTGAGGACGGTGCTCGACATACACTGTATTACAGACAACAGCTGACATTAATAAATTGACACGGGATCACATAAAGAACATCTGTTTGTGTTTGTGAATGATCGCTTGTGTGACAAGGATTGAGACCCTCCCACATGTTTAGGTGAGACTTTTATGTCACAGGCAATGGCGTCTCGCTCTGTGCAGCGCGGATGGCTCTCTGCCGCTTCAACAGACAAGGCCCATTTATAAAAGTGCAGCAAAGACATCTGCACAGGTCTCTTTGGAAAATTTAGATGGTGCTGTGGGCACTAAGCACTGCCATCTTCTACAACAGAGATGTGGCTGCATGCTGATGTGGCACATGAAAACAATGACAACAGAACCGGTGCCTGTCTCCATTACTGAGAACAGTTTTCATGGGATAGGGAACTCATTTGTTTTCCATGACTAAGCTGGCCCCATGCTCGACTGAAATGCTATCATTTAAATGAGAACAGATTACCTCATTCAATCAGCAAGTGAAGTGAAGCAGAATTCTAATTGGGCTTCATGGGACTTTTTTGAGCAGCAGTAGATCTTTTCAGACTGGGTTCTTCTTTGACAAAGATAAAGCCGAGAGCTCTGCAACACCTGTGTTTTCAAACATCTTGAATTTAGGGCAGATGGCAGTTTGTGACCTCTCTAATCTAGCAGTAATACTCCTTGTACTGTGTCGGTGCATGTTTGCATTCTCCAAAGAGCATCTTGGGGAGAGAATTTAGTGAGCACACTTAACACTAGAATGTCCTCAAAATATTAGCACACGGAACAGAAACTCCTGTAGATGCTACATATAGTATTAACAGATTTTAAACCATTATGTTAATGACAACGACTGCTGACTGGCTGTGGTAATTATGATGAAAACAATAACGATGATAATGAAAGTAAAGCTGATGAGGATGATGATCAGAGTGATGATGTTCATGACAACATTGAAGATGATGACGATGATGATGATAATGCTTTTAAAGTTCATACTTGCTCTTGGAAGTAGCCTTTTAACCCTTGTGTTCTGTTAAGGATCTTAACAGTGAGTCTCTTCTCAAGGTCTCTTTTACTACAGCAGCTGTTTTGGAGCTTTCAGTCACATTACAATATGCAAAAAGTGTTCAGAAGAAAACAGAAATGTGAACATCTACAGTTCATTGACAGCTGGGCAAACTCCAATACCAATAAAACTAGGGAGATTTCCATTATCAACGCCATTATGATGGCCACAGTAGTGATAGTGATACAGAATAGGACAACTGTAAATACATATCAGTATTTCACTTTTCTAGCTCATACTATAGGAGCTGCAACGCAGTATGTGCAGATGTTTGGGCAGCCGGCTGCTCCTGAGTGGAGGTTGCCACTGCCAGGTTTGGGAGCCCTCGACAGTGTTAGAGAGAGTAGAGACAGAATGCCATCATCCGCAGGAAGCATGGGAGCTCTGCCGGTGTGCTGGGCCTTGTCCAAGACTCATGTCTAAACATAGCTGGCCTAGGGTAACACAAACACCTGAATTCCCTCAGGGAGGTAAGAGGGGCCGCTGTGAGCTGACTCACTTTACGCTACTGTAGCTTATTCAGGGATGTAATTCAGACAAACTGTGTGAATCCTGTGCATTTGAGTGACTATGTGTTTGTCTGTTTGTACAAGCACGTGCATATACAAGGTGTTTTTGCATTTGCATGGTTGTGAAAGCTAACACTCTAATAGAGGTAAACAGGTCTGCCATTGATGGAAGCAGAGGATGGAGGAGACATGGGGGAAGGGGTGGGGGTTTATTTGCAGAATGTGATTAAGGTAATAAAACAGTAACAATTAAATTAGGTAGGTATCTGTGCCATCAGCATCAGTACCCACAGTAAATCAGGCCCTACAGTTATTATCAGCATGGTTAAGCACGGCACAGAGCGATTCCATTCTGCCTTACATGCATATTGAAAGTGATGACTTCTCAGGAGAATATAAAATAAATATGCAGCCTTTTTGACATGGACTTAAATTACTGAGCTATTTTATGATCTGCAAAGGAAAGCACAGTAGAAATGAGTAGAAGGCTTACTGCTATTGTATGTGACAAGACATGATAAGACAAGTATCATGTAGACTATGAAATGAAACCCTGTAAAATAAATCCAAAAAAAACTGAGGAAAAACTTATTTTCTGACTACTTAGATATCCAGAGCTTTTTGTTAACTTATGCCAAAATGTTTGGGGGTTATTACAGACTTGTAGTGCTCAGTGCAAATGTTTCAGGGTAATTTTCAACTTATCAGGGTTGTACTGATTTGTATATTTGCAAAAATAATGCACATTAATGTAAATATTTGCAATTACTGAACCAATTCCATTTTAGGCATTAAAGTTTTTAAAATAATAAAGTAATGAGTGGCATGGACAAAGATCTATCAGCATCAGTTACCTCCAAAGTTTGTAAAGGAGGAAGGTATGACAATTATAGTGTCAGTCAAAAGCAAACAAACAATCCAGCAGTAGCACCAACAACAGTGAGAACATACGTTTGGGGTGGATTGGGATGTTATTTGCTGCAGTGCCAAGCAAAGGAGGGGGTTCTGTTGTTTCTGTGCATGGTTGTATGTGCTGATGAGGGGCCAGATTTGCTTTGTTTGTTATTTTTTTTCTTTTTTTTCTGGTGAGTTCTTGTTTGGATCTGAGAAATCCCTCTGTGTCTTCATCAGAGGGTGGCTCAGTGATTGTGATGTATGCCAATTATCCCTCCTACCATTAGAAACAGTAATGAAGATGTTCCGATCCACTCATCTTTCCCTCTCAGTATGCCTTGATTCGCTGAGTGCCAACTGAAATTCATGCTCCCATCATTCGTTCTGCACCACTTTCATCATTTCTTCCAAACTCTACCTCCACACCAGGTCCCCTGACTTCTTCCCTCTTAGCACTCACCTTGAGCTGTGTTCTGGCAAAGGTTCAGGTATCTGTCAAAATTCATCTTATTTTCATTTCATGTCAGATTTATTGAACCAGTGTGGCAAATACAAGGGTTTAGTGGCAGCAGAAAGCGCCATGCCTTTGAGTAGTACCCCTACTATATTAGGCCTGTGTCTCAAGTGTCCATTGACTTGGAGGTTGGCAAAGTGGCGCAGTGCACATTGGGAATGGATGGCTCTCTTGGGGATGGGAAAGAGGCCATCCGTCTAAGAACTGCTCTGTCCTTGTGCAGTATCTGATCTGAGGTAGACAGAGTGTATTAGCACTGAATAATGGCCCCACACTGCTTGACCAGCTTCCTGCTCTCCTCTGTGATATTGCTCTCTGGGGGTGGGGGGTGGTGGTGGGGGGCTATCCCTAGTTCAAGTCTTTCACACAAGCATTATCAGGCCCAAAAATCCATTGTCTACCATGCCCTGAACTCCAATGGTGCATGAGTATAACCTTGAAGTTTTAAAAGTTATTAGTCTTCTGGATATTATTTAATCCTGAAGTGAATTGTGTCAGTGAAAGCCAGACAGCAGAGAGACAGTGAGAGAGAAGAGAAAAGAAAGAAGAAATAAATTAGAAAGTGGTGTTTTAGTCTCTTTTAGCATCAACCTCCAACCTTTTTTATTCAGAAAAGAAAAATTCATCTCCGCTGCCACTGCATCTTAGCTCTTGATACCCCGGTGAGAGGTCTGATTCTAGCATTGATCCAGTCTCATAACAATAGAGGTGAAATCCTTTTGCAGGAGCAATAGACGTCCTGTCTCTGCTGTGCACCTACACAATCAAATACAAACCTCGTTTTCCACAGTATCACTGCCCTCCCTCCTGCGTTTCTTTTTCAAAAGGGCAGAATCTATCAAAAAGGCAACATCTCTGTTTTGCCACCTGTGAGTATGTTGTACATCCATTTCATTTCCCCACACCATTACAAGATTCAGAGCCAGCCAATTCCCTTTACTATTGATTTCATTCCATTTATTTTTCGCCAGGTTTTTAAAACCTCCCACACAAAAAACCATCTCCTGGAAAACAGCTTTAGTATTACACTTCTGGAAATCAAATTATGAGAATAATTACTGTTTATTTTGTTGTTTTATCTCAATTAAAGATCTAGTATAAAGAATTATTAGCAAGTGCAGTTGATAAGGTTTAATAAACAGAGGAAATGGATGAGACGACAACAGCTTTACATAGAAAAGATTGCTTCATGATGAGATGCTGGTAGTCTCCTTTCTTTCTAGCTGTGTGTGTGTTTATATTCTTTTTGTTTGTCTGTGCTGATATATTTCGAAGATTATATTGTATTTACAACAGTATTTTTAGAAGGCTTGTGTTAATGAAGATGTTTGGCTGCATACATTATGTTTGAGATTATAATGGAAAAGAAATACAATACATAAACAATAATACATATTTTGTATTTTATGTATTTGAATGCCAGCCTGGAATCCCCAGGGCTTATAGTCTTACTGGCTCATTCTGTAGCGCACAATATATGTCTAGTGCCAGTGATCAGTGCCAGTGAAGTAAGTACTATGCCCTTTATTTAGCAAAGTGGAAAGTAAGGTTATTGAAGCTGAACTTTGTACATGTAGCACAGTGAACTTGTTTGCAGGAAGCCACAGTTCATTCTCTGTCACATTCCATCAGCTCATCTTTCATTTAACGTTATAATCAAATATCTAATATAATTCAGGGTTTTTACACCTTGCTCTAATATCAATAATTAGGCTGGAAACAGGGTTGTTGAATACCTGCACATACTATATAAATGGCATGTAAGGTTAGCTGAGGCATGAAATAGTGATAGATCCGATGACTGCCCAAATACGCACACAGCACCCATATACAAGTATCAATGTGTCCAGGGGTGTTGTATTTGTACAAGGGCTTCAGAAAGTACTGAAATCCCTTGACAAGCCAACGGTTATGCACCATCACCTTGAATTGCTTCGTTACAACCCAGTAGAATGTGACAAGGGATCCCAACTGATTTTCTGAGGTATATTTTCATTAGATTTTTCAACGTGACAGTGTTTCATTCTTTTCTTCTCTCCAATTTAAAGTGTGGGCAAATATAATGGTGTCATGGCATCATAAGAAGGTGTCAAGAAATGATTAATATTATCAATAATGAAGTGTTAAATCAGAATCAGAATAAGCTTTATTGGCCAGGTGTGTTGGAGACACAAGGAATTTGACTCTGGTTCAACGGCTCTCAATGCGTATGTGCATATCCTTAGGTAAGGCAGCGGTGGGCAAGTAAACAATGTAAAGATGTAATGTGCAATCAAGCAAAGGAATGTGCATTAGGAATAAAAATAAAGTACTATATACACACAGTCTGGATTAATGTGAAAATGCAATATCTACCAGCAACGCCGGTCAGTGAAGACCTCGTGTAACAACTGTATCACAGTTTCTTTCACTTTTACATTATTACTGGGTCTTTCATGTTTTGTGCATTCATGGCTAATTGAGCACTTCCTTTTATGAGCTCACCTGTAGAGTGTGACAGGAGGGTTGGCCTTTGCTGAGCAGTGGAATTTCACAAGGTTGCCCTCGAGAACTGGCTGAGGCTCCACTGAGAGATTGACAAGTGGGAGATCTAACAAAATGCACAGAAACACAAAGACAACCAATTGAACTGTAAGCATGAGACAAATACTATGTTGTTGACATTTTCTGTGGCTTGGTAAGAAAAGGAAAAAAAAAGATATTACAAATTTTGCAGAGGAGACAAAATAGACACCTTATAAATGGTTCTGAAAGCATGCGACCTCAAAAGAAAACAGCTAAGCACATCACATGCAAAATAAATTCTCCTTTTTATTCAAAGGACCTACATTTGCCATTCCTCCCTCCCCCCCTTGTGTCCCAGAACTGATTTGGCAGCCTTTTATGTTGCTGTACCACACATACAGTAGGCAAATATACTCCACTTAAAACCACTAGGTGAAAGTCTTTGTTTTTGGATTGTCTTACAATACACTGTGGCAGCCCTTAGAACAGTTGTGACAGCTTATCACAGTTTGTGGCAGCGTTTTCTCCCAAATAAAAGGCAATTACTCCTGAATAATTTCATGTCTTATGTTAATCTTTCTACCCCCCACCTAGGGGTCTAGGCCCAGTTATTGAATAACACTGTATAGTGCATTTAGCACGTGTTGGAGAGAACTTGCTATTTTTATTCTCATATATTCATTAGCAACAATATAAGGAGTAAATCAAAGGAAAACTTGACTTGATAATGAGTTTCAGTAAAAGGCAATTTGCAAGCAGTGAACAGCCCATAGTGCAGCCTACTACAATGAAAGCAGCAAACAACCTCTATAACACAGAACAATTAAAACAGTTCTTCGAATAACAAGCATTCAGATTATGCAAAGTTAATAAACAACTTAATTCATCCTAATTGACAAAGGTGGGATTCTTTTTGAAGATTCATGTTAATTTCCATATCACTCCTGTTCCATGTGAAACAAACAGCTATTTACCCTGCAGACTCATAAATTCATTTTAAGTAGGTGAAGCTATTTTCCAGGATTTTGAAAAAGAAGCTGGATATATTTATCTCAGGAGTGAGAAACTGTTAAAACTCACCTATATGTTAATGGAGAATTAAGTGAATGAAGTGTCTCCTATTAGAGCAGGTCACATATATTGTAGATTACAGCAAGCTGTCAAGGAAACCACATATTGTATGACACATGCTTCATACATGTTTCTTTGTTTTTATGTCATATTTAACTCATCCTTGTTAAATTATCTCCAATAATCTGTATGGCTGAACGTGAACTGGGTATGAAATAGCATGAAATACACATTTTTGTTTTCTTTACACTACACTAGTCCTGCCATAGCAGGTACTGTATGTGCCATATGCAAAAGCAGGGTAACTGATTTTTAGATGCCACATCCTCAGATTCGACCACCACAGTGCAGAGTGTCATGGGGGAAAGACTTGCTTTTGGGTTTGATGTTTGTGCAGCCATCTGTTTCGAAGGTATACCAAGTCTTTCTGCTCTGGGTTCAATAATACTAGTCTACTAACTAGGGACTGTGTTTGAATCTAGATGAAGAGCAGTAGTGGCCAAGGAGAACCACACAGAATTAAAGAAGCACATAAAAACAGCTGTAATGAAACCACAACACTGTGTATAGTTACGGAGAATAATTCTGTCTCTCTCTGTGTGTGTGTGTGTGTGTGTGTGTGGGCCTGAAGTGTAGGAAAACTGCTTTACCCTGTGGCTGTACAGGTGCTCTGGGCTGGCTCAGCTGCCACAAAGCCCCAGAGATGGGGGTGATCCAGGTGCTCTATTCCTCCCTACTTTCTCTCTCTTTCTCTCTCTCCCCCATACACACACACACACACACACACACACACACATACCCAATTCCCCATCAGCAAACTTATTTCTCTCTAGGACAGTTGCCCCCCCACCGACCACTCTACCACCTTCAGATCCATGCGCTCCACATGTGCCAATTCTCCCCAGGCCACTAAAGAAAACAACAACATTGTGGATCCTGGAAGACTTGAAGGCCACAGTGAACCAACAAGTCTCTCCAGGTACAGTACTGAGCAGCCAGCTGTGCGCATCTGTGTGTTTGCATATGTAGGCACATGTTTAAAGCAGGGTATGTGTGCATATGAAAGGATGTGTGGATGTGTGCCATAATAAAACAGGAAACCTATCCATGCTTTAAGCAGCAGTGTTAGTGCCCAGTAGGTGTTTTTAGCGTAGTGAGCAGTTAATTGCGTGGACAAAAATGTGGGCAGAGGGAACCTCAGGGGCAAAATGACAGATGTGGCAGTGGTGGAGGTGGTAATAAAATCCAGCAATAAGCTGGAGTGTAAATTGAGAGGCAGACATAAAAAGAGAAGCAAGGGAGATCTGAAGGTGGTGTCTGTGCTAACAGACACAGTAATGTAGAAGCTAATTCACAAGCCTTTTTCACTAAAAGCATTACTATGGTGTATTTTTCAACCATGCCAACTTTTTTTTATGGTCTTACCGCCAAGAGACTTCTAAGGACAAAAATGCTCATTACTGTCAAACTGACTACTAATTAAAGTTCTATTCAAATAATAGAGATCAAAACTGACCATCCTTCAAAAAATACCTCAGTCCCTCTCAGCAAGAGGTGATATTCTGATAACTTTAAATCTACTTTCTAAGTCAGAATAGCAATTAACTGGATAGTTCAATCTTCCTGATGAGCCACAAGCAGACAGGCATGTGATCAACAGCTGAGAAAATGCTTCTAGCAAGTGCCTTGGGTGTAAATCAGGGACTGTCACTAATATAACCTTTGACCCTATGACAGGCAACTTTTTAATAAGGAGGTCCATAAAGAAATCCATTTGCTACTGTACTTTGATCTATAAATGCATGAGTTTCTGACTAAGTGCATTTGAAGCATCGTGATTGCACATCAATATTGAAGACTGTTAATTTCTTAGATTCATCAAGAAAGTACTACCAAAAAAGGGGGGGGGGGATGAATGGATAGAGGGAAAGGGGATAGTAGGACAGATCGGAGCTCCAGTGAAAACAAGAACATGAACTGGGGGGTAGTGTTATAGTTGGCTGACATCTTTTGATCAGATAGTTCAAAGATGGAGACCAGATGGTGTTTTTGGAACAATCTTCCAGCTCTCTCTGTTTCCTGGATATAGTGCCAACATAAATAGTTCTTTCCCTTTCGTAAAGCTTGATATCCGATCTCTCCAAATCACCGCAGACAGCTGTTCTCCAGTAGGACCACCCTCAAACTCTGGGAGTGTCAGCTGCATCTGAAGGATGAGGAAGCTGTTTGTGGACCATGAGCTTGTGTCTTATAGCCTCAGCAATATGGGCTGGCTGAGTGAAATACTTCAGAAGAGCGCAGACCGAGGGGCAACCTGAGGTCCAGAGTATCAATCAAACCACGGAGCAGAAAAGAATTTGCTCAGATGTTCAGCTATTCATACAGCATTCCATGTAGCTTATATGGCGTGCACAGTGAGTGCCTAAATATGCCATGATCATCAAATATTTGTAACTGATGCAATAACAGTTTTCAGCATTAAATAGATCTTCAGGGCACTGGGAGTGTAAAATTTAAAAATCACATCTTTACACAAACTAACAAATAATATCACATAAAATAATTCTGTATTGCAGCATTATTTGAACTTAACCTAGAAAGAATTCTGAGCATTTCATTGCCCTCTGATCCTTATACTCTGTCCCTCTCACTTTCAAATTCTGCCTCAGATGAATTTGCCATTATCTGCTTGATTAAGCAGGGAAAGCATGTAGCTGCGCCAGCTACCAAAAACAAATCCTCCCCAATTGCACATCTGCATGTTCTTTATTAATTAGTCTCAACAAATGGCATTCATTTTCTCCCCACATGGCTCAGCTTGTTTGTAATGCAAACACACGGAGAACCTTGGCTTTGCTCATCCCTAGTGCATTCATTTCCCACTGTGTGTTTGAAAGCGTGTTTTTATGAGGGGCAATGCTGCTCTGCAGATATACAGCTGGACTAGAAAATATTTGAGGATTTTTTTTTTTTTTTAAATTGTGTGATGAGGAGGATTTAGCGGGACATAAAACTGTGGAATCAGAATCATATTTCACAGCAGCAGTTTGAGGCAGGGGGTTAGGGGAGTTTACTGATTAAAGTCCAAAGGGCTTAATGCAAGTTAAGTCATGCTGCTAAAGAAAAAAAAAGCACTGGGGGTAGACACTCATCTGCTATCAAATAATTACAGTGAGCTAATGGACTGGTATGGACAACTAAAGTCAGCAGTCTGTCCAAGGTTCTGAATCACCTATGTTGACTCTAAATCCCTCTCATTTCGGCAACACCACCGTGACATACTGTATTTAGATGCTAATTTCTCTAACCCTAAATCACATAACTGTGTATGAACTTCTGTGGGAATGAAATTGCTGAGGTGGATGTAAATCATGAGCAATAAAGTGATGACAAAAAGGAAATACCATTGTGAAATGCATGAGATTTTTTAGGCTGGTTTAAGCTGTAAAGCAATGTACCAGGTTGTGTTTAGATTACTCTCATCTGAACTGCTATGGAGACGGAGCTGAGAGAAAAGGGCACCTAATCCCGGAGGCTGGCAGAATACAAAATGTTGAAAAGGGCAGACAGAATGAAAAGATTTTAATTACCTTTGTTGCTATTAATATGATCTCACTAACACAATCAATTAGATAACTCTAGGCAGGAAAATAAATTATATCTTTAATTTTTAATACTGGGACATATACAGAAAAAATTCGGCATAGGCAATACCAACCTTTATTTAGAGAGAGTGAATGCTCAGCAGACAGTATCCACATTTTCAGGGTATACATAACAATTTGGGGAAATTTGCTTATTTGCTGTCTTACTGAGAGTTAGATGAATGCATCAATATCAATTTAACCTCTGTGCATTCAATACCAAGCTATCACACAGAGTATCAGGGAAGTACCTGTGTTCCATAACTCATCATTTCCTACTTCTGAGTGGAAAAAGGAAAATAGATTGTCCCTTTTGGCTGACCCTCAATATAACTGCCAAGAACTGTCAGAGTGGGTTGGACGACAGGCAGGCTAAACCCTGCACAGATCAGTCTACCACAATGGCTGACACGTAGAAACAGGTCATGTACTCACACTCACACAACTGTATGAACAATTTAAAGTTACCGGTCAACCTAACCTGCATGGGTTCGGGTTGTGGGAGGAAGCCAGAATACACAGGGAAAATACATGCACACACAGGGAACAACATGCAAACTCCACACAAACAGCCAGCACATTATAATGTAACTCCGTCCAATTTTGGATGGCTATAAGTGGCTGTAGTGCACAGTCTAGCTTCAGCAACTTGCCTTCACCAGGGTCCCACTTATACTAACACCAACTGTTCACCAGAGACTGCCATTAATCCCTCCATCTTTGTTATCGGACTGAAGCACATTGCATCAGCTTAAGACATGAACATAGATACACAGAAGAAGGCAGCACTTTGTTGTACACAACCTTGGACAGTCCTGTTCATAGCAAGAAAACATGTTGTTACTGTGCAACACTGAATCATTTTATCATAAGACGTAGCAGGCCAGCATACTTCAGTGTGACAGAAGCCACCGGGAAATTTGGCAAAGTTTAATCACATGCACCTTTACAAGGACCAAATTATCCTGAACATATTTTTGACCAGTGCTGGCCTGGCTACTGTCATGTTTTTCTCTAGAAGCATTTATTACTGTCGGCAATTCCAATCCAGTATTATTAAATTCTGACATGTGACTGGTTTTTGCTATAGAATAAAAAGAACACCCAAGCTCCATTGAAAAGAAGAGGTGGTCTAGTGTTGTATTTATTTCACAAGCTGACTGGAAGTGCCTGAAAGAATCATGCTTTGATAGGTAGGGTGATGGCTTTCACCTTTTCTGAGAAAGGCTTACTGAGAGAGAGAGAGTACAATGGGCAGAAGAAAGAGAGGTTCAGGTTATATTTCTTGTTTCTTGTACATATTGCATACTGTCCTGCCTGGCCTTGCCTGATAAAGGGGGTTGCTAAGGGGGTTTCTAACTCTGTAAAATGTTGGTTTCTTTTTTTTTATTATTGTGTTGCAGTAATTCATGAATGAGTAACATAAATGAACACATCCCTCTTTGAGATGCTCTGACAGTTTGTGACTCTGTGCTGTGTCTAGACTGCATCTTGCTCACTGCAGATGACTGTGTCCTAGATCAGGCTCATCTGTTTCAAGACACTTCAAATGTGTCCAAATACCCATATCCCAGCACACTGATATAAGTTAGTCATAGGTACTGAAACTCTCTTGGTCATTTGAAGACCATCTCCTGGTAAAACTTGGAAATAACTGAACTGTCTGATTTGGCTCAATGTGGCTTTCAGGTCCTTTAAGGATCCAGCCCCCAGATCAGAACACAACTAACTTTTGTGTGCTACCTCCACTGTACAACAATAGTTGTTTCTCATCAATGTTTTCCACTCAGTTGGCACATCCCCTGGAGAGGAGCCAGCACACAGGCCAGACCTGTGTGGTGTCTGATCCTTAAAGAGATGAGGTCCAGGTTTCATCTGCTATTATTTCCCTTGCCAGTGTTCCATTATTTATATTTTCAGCATCTGTTTTGTGTGTGTTACACAAAGACTAGGTGTTCATTTCTAGTCTCCTTCTTTTCAGGGAATAATACATTCACATTTAAGTTGTCTAAGATTTCCAACCTAACAATACAACATTCTCATACTATTGGAGTAAATAGAATTGTTTAACTTCATTATACAAGGATAAATAGACATACATGTGAATAATAATCACAGGAAGCCACCACTGCGCATCTTTGCTTAGAAGATACATGTCATAAAACACAACAGGAACACAGGAAGACAGTTTATTTCATGGGTTTGCAGAACAGTCTACAGTTTAGTACTTTGCTCAAAGTGCAGATATGATACACCTGCACCAAATCTTGTATTTTTCTTAAAAAAACATTTTTCAGTTGTCTTTGCTGAACCAAGAACCGTATAATCGAATTAGGCAGCATAGAAATTAAGAAAACTGACACCCAACACGAATGAATCAAAGTTCAATTACAGCATGTTTCATTTCAGGAGCAGCTTAATTTGGAAGTGGATCTTAGCAAAAACTCCAGAGGGTCTGCTGAACTGTGCTGAACACTTTACCTGTCAGTCTGAGGAGGGGGGTGGGGGGAATGGAAATGGAGGGAGAGAAACGAGAGGCTAAGCCTTGTGGGAGACAATTTGAATCTCAACAATTAGTCTCTGCTGTCGCTCAGTTTGATCTCATGCTGCGAAAAATGTTTTCAGGAGCTTTAACTGTAAAGCGCACATTTTGGAATGTTAATTAGAAATGTTCCAGTCATTTTTCAGGGCTAAATCATACATTTAGGAGCAAAGATGAGGCTATAATGGCAAGCATTTGTCACTGATATAACTGTACACGGTGACAAATCATTTTACATGTGGGCAGACTTCCCTCACTGACTGCATGATGAGGAAAAAAAAGAGGACAAACTGCAAGGGTTGCAAACACTAGCAACTGTTAATCATTTTTACTCCTGCGCCTGAGTTGGCCTGGTCATGCCTTGTCTGCTCTTGCCATGCTTGCCTCTTGTGGAGTACATAATAAAAAGAATGGAGCCGTCAGTCATAATGGGTGTCTAAATAGCATTTTCTGCTTTATTAGTCATACTTAATGGTGTTGAAGGGGCTGTGAATGATGCAAAATCCCTTTGTTCAAAGCCCTTCTCTAACTGTGAACGCTTCTTGATCGAAAAAAAAAAAAAAGATTCCCTGACAATTGAGGCTGAATGTGTTTTACACGCTGGGCTTACTTTCCTTATTTTAGAGGGGAATTGTGCATGCTCTCATCAAAAAGATTGATGGCATGAGCAAGGAAATAAAAGAAGTAGAGACAGTGTGCCCAGTACTACAGCAGTCAGGTAGTTGGGCCAAAAAAAACAAAAAAACAAACCCATTCATTTTAGATGGACAGCTGCTTTGATATTTCATTATAGCAAACAAACAAAAAAAAGTGATGCATCGCAAATCCATCCACCCACCTACGGGGTATGAAAGCAAAATGGAACCAATTATAAATATCCATCAGAGCCTAAAATGAATCCTAGATGTTTACAGACTGTTAGGCTCATATGCCTGTCTGACAGTTTCATGCCTCTACATGTGAGAAATACCTCGTATTGTCAGGGTCAGGCAACAGAGGGACTAATGTAAATCACTAAATAGAAACGCAGGATAAAAGTTGACAAATGTATTAACAAATTGGGAGGCACAACAAAAACACATGAGGCTGAATGTTTACGCTAGAACACTACACCAGGGCAAAAATAAACAGGAAATTGCATGAAACTACACTATATCCAACACTAAACTGAACCACAGCTAAGTGCAAGCATACAATACAGGGAGAAAATCTAGAACAGAGAATCACAAAACCCCAAAATAACTAAATGCCAGAACTAAGCCAAATAGGCAGACTAGAGAAACGTACAAAGGAAAAAAAAGATAACTAACTAGAACAGAAAACCTCCTCCAAAAGAGGGCAGATTCAGGTAGAACAGAACAGTCTGAGTTGTAAAACAAGGAATAGCACAGACAAGGAGAAACAGGAGAGAGTCCAGAGTCAAACAGCAGTTGGGAGTAAATGTCAGGCAATAGGACTGCCTGCCTGCAGTCAATGTGGAAACCAGGGACACAACTTGTTAGAGACACAGAGAGAAACAGGGTGGATCCTTAATGATGATCCAACAAGAACTGCTTCTGAGTTCATGCTGTTAAACATTGTAGGCTGATGAGCTAATATGAAACAGCTGAATACAACTGGTCAATGGTAAAGCTGAAGCAGGTGAGAAGGTACAGAACAGGAAGTTTCATACAAAACAAAAGCTTCAGCCAGGACGTGAGACATTGATCATGACACTGATCACTCGCCAAAGGACTTTAAAAAAGTAAATACTTTTTTTTTTTTTTTTAAGAAGAAGGACACACTGAAAGTTATAAAGACAGAGCCAGATAAGAAAAAGGGGCATGCTTACGCTGGATGTCAATTGTGACACTGGTTTCCTTGCCGTTGGGAATTGCTTTGTTGGAAGCCTTGCAGATGATCTGCTGGCCTGTCTCGATGATGGAAGGTGATAGGTAAAGCGTGCTCACGGTGCTTTCTCTCCTACCATCCCGGAGCAAGGTCTGCAAAGAGGGAAGAGGAACTGAGTAAAGCTGAAAGGAACAGTGTGTGTGTTGTACTGTAGGTAACATGTTTCAGCTGTTAAACCTACACCAAATACAGCTGGTTGGTTTAATGGATCACCATTGATTTTTCATTTTCATTATCATAAACAGGATCTTGAACTATTTTAAATTTTGAACACTAAACTCTAACTCTTGTCCACCTAAAACACTGAGTCATACTGGACAGCTAAAATTCAAGCTGGGATTCTAAACAGTTTAAATGCTATGCAAACAGAGAAGAGAAAGGCTTTGATGGAGAAGGTGTAAAAAGCAGCAAATTCATAAATACACACATCTTGTCCCTAGTGCATCCCTGTAATTTTACTGGCTGATATAGAAAAAATGTTTTTTTGAGCCTTTTGTGTGTCTGGAGAGCTGCGCTCTAGTGCATGGCTTGTCATACTCCACAAAGAAAATCAATCTTCTTTTCAGCGCTCATCCTCTGAGCCCTACATTGTGGAAGCCATCTGGAATCGGTTGCTAGCACTCAGTACCTCTCACTCTCCCTCAGACACACAAGGGAGGGTTCTGGGAGTCTCTGCTAACCAGTGCGGGACAGAACAAAGTCACTGACTAGAAAAAAATTGCTTCGGCACAGGGCACAGTGTGGTCAACCAAAAAGTCAAGATGCATTTCCATAGTGTGTCTTAGGACGCTCGCTGTTGCTCTGTGTTTTGGAAGTAAATATGAAATAAAAAAATGGAGGATCTTATCTTGTAGTTATGAGATGTTAAGTAATAATTATGAGCTCCTGATCCCATAATTATGATTTACTATTTCATAATTACAAGATCAGTATCTTGTAATTGTATGAATATTACAAACGCTTGTGAACAGATCATACTTTTATTAGAAACAGGAAGTATAATGTTGCTATGGATACAGCGAGTTACACTTTGTGCTGCTGCTTAGGATTTGTTTATTAGTCTATATTTTTTTACGCTTCCATTCCAATTTGTTATGTACTATTGAATGTACTGACAACTACCACTGAATTACTTTGTTGCCAGATAATTTCAAATCTGATGATTTTCAGGCAGGTTTTAAAGCATTAACTCGTAGTGTACAGTATGAGAAATGATCCCATGTTTAGCCTGTGAGCTCAGGGGTTTGTAAACATAAGACAGTAAGTTATAATTACAAGATAAAATCCACCTTTTTTTTCCTATGATGAATGAAACATGCCTCTATATGTTATAGTGAACAGCAAACAATATAGCAAATAGAAATACTTGTTTGCTTTACTGCGCTGCTACCCTTGGATTTGCCTCACACATTTCACAGATTTCTTCATGGATATTTCCTTTACTTGGATACTTATAGTGCACCACACAACAAGAAAAAGTCACATTTCATCTCAACATCTGCACTGTATACAACATTTTAGTCTCCAAACCAAAGCTTCTCCAGCTGCTATGGCTCATATGCACATTAAGTTTAAATATAAAACAAAAATTCCACAGTATAATACAATGTTTTCACAAAGTTCAAGAAAGGTATATAGCACATACAGCCTACATTTCAAACACCACAATCATTTTCCAATAATCGATAGCTGAGTTAAACTGTGGCTAAAATTCACGTACAAATCGGCAGTAATTCTTTCCTCATTTCTCTACTTTAACATAAACTGTAATCTAACTACTGCATGTGCCCTGCTTTTCACTTAAGCATACCATATTTTGAATAATGTAATTAAAGTGTCATTGACTTTAAAATCAAGCTGCAAGGCATTTCAAAAGAAATCTTTTTATTGAATCACTTTGGAGTTCAAGTACACCAAGGTCCCTCTCAAGTGGCATATCACGTTAGAACATCTATATAGATTGGATCAAAGATAAATAGGTTTTTCTGTGCATTAAAGACCATTTTGCATTAAATTGATATTATAGATGCCATCCGTGCTTCTGTAAAGCCCATTTGTATGTGAAGGACCATGTGATGAAATGTGTGTGAGTCACGTCTAAAGCAGAACGTATTAGCTGTCAGTCACAGGATATGTCAATGTAATATCCTCTCTGACACAATCAGGATTGTTTCTCTCGTCACTCTGGACCTGTCTGAAGTCATTAATCTTAAAAAGGAGGTTAGTTGGCTGCCGTATTGAATTCAACACCACGCCACATTACAAATTGATACATTTTCATATTACTGCCTGGAGCCTGTATGAAGAATACTTTTAACCATGCTTAGAGAAGAATGGCAAAAGTAACAAGATTAAGGGTTGTTTTTCATATATATTTGAAGCTGTATTATTTATAATATTTCTGACCTTTAGATGGTAAAAGACACAAAGAAACACAGCAAAGGGCCACCCTTTAGCATACCAAGCTGATCGTGTTAGTGAACATGAGCATCTCGTCTAATATTTACTGCACTTCAATCCTAGTTTAGGTTTGTTTACAAAATCTCTGCTATTTACAATAATTTGTTGTATTTTGTAAGGGGATACTGTGTAGTCAGTCTGGCACTAATTTTGAGGTACCGCTCTGTCTTTGTCACAGCTGCAGCACAATGGATACACAAACCTGCAGCAGCTAATGTGACAATAGATGACTTAGTCTAATTTTACTGTACTTAAAGCTGCAGATGCCAAGCAATTTTTAACTTGAGCGGAAGAAGTCCAGCTAGTGGCTTACTGGATTATCTACTAATTAAAAAAAGCTGAACCAAATAGATTACTACTACTGTAAATAAAACTTGAGGTACTGCCAGCCAAGGCAATTTATTGTTAGTCCAAAACAGGCATTGTGTTTAATTTGAACATCTGCTGTAGTTTATCTGTATATACTGTAATGTTGATGGTACTACATACTGAATCTAAAATGTCAAATTGTGCTTCGAGTGTACCTAATTTAATAAACACTGAACTCTGATTCTGTGAGTTTTATTTTTTAATAATAACATCAATACTTAAAGCCATAAACTGCCATGTTTGCCTTTAATTGTGTATTATTTCAGCTAGACAGCGCTCAGAGAGTTTAAACCTCCGCCAGTGCAGCTCAGTTTCGCATAATGCATACTTTGATCCTCATAATATGATTCCTTGAGCATGAAAACCATTTGGAATTTGGAATCACATTGATATCATTATTAGTTTGAAAGTTATTCAAGAAAGACAATAGACATGAGTGATTACTAAATGCCATAAATGGGTAAATAAATGTCCCATGCAAGCTGAAATAACAATGTGTACTTACAGTCATTTATAGACACACACAACTCACTCATTTGGCTGCATGTAAAATCGCTTTAGTCTGTTTTGCCTCCTGCTACACTTATTGGCTTTACTTGTTGTCACCTAAAATGCTCAGCAGCACAGCCATACACTTTCACCACAAGGGAGCTCTCACATACAGTAAGCAGCCTTTCCAATGCTCACAGTGGTGAACATTCTAGATCTGGATGATAATTCAGATCAACACCAGAATATAACTGATTGATCCGTGGGTCATACACTACATTTCCAGAAAATGTAATCAAAATCCATTCACTACTTTTTGAATTACTGTATTCTGTGAGCCAGCCAACAAACAAAAAATAAAAATATAATATAATAGAGCTCATGAAGAAATTGAAACTGAAATGAACTAAACCTGGCAGGCATGCAGGGAAAGGTTTGATTTGGTCAGTAGTATGGGAGTGTAAAGGACAGAAGCCAAATACAATAAATAAAGTAAGTAAGTACTGGAAGTAAAGTAAGTAAATCAATAATATTCTAATAACTAATTCAACGTGCCTTTTATTCCATATCAATTGTTTCTCTGTTATATTCAATTAATCACACAGATGTTATTTTATTAAAACTCTTGATACACTGTACTATATCTTTTTAAAGAAGTAAAAATATACCTTTTCTTACATGGTCACCGAGGTTAAATAGTTTTAACTTTCACGTCAAACATCATTTCACAGGTGCTTAAAAGCAATAAACTGAGGTGATCTGCTATAAATTTAAGACTACACATTTAATTTTAAGGCAGAATAAATAAGGTTAATTAGCTAGCCAGTAGCTCACTCAAGATTTAATTAGTTACATTATTTTTAAGTTTGTGTCTATTCGATTACTGCACCAGTGTGATGATTAAAATGCAATGAAGTTTTCTAATTTCACAAAAATTACTATGGACAGAAGAAAACTAAGAAAAATGAGAAGCAGAAAAAGCATTCAATTTGAAAACTTGTAGGAAACAGGGTGTAAAAATAGAGAAAAGCTAGAATGGAAGAGTTGATATCTATTTTCTCTGTTGAAAATGATATCCATCAACAGTAGTGGCTTCATGTAAACTTTAGCAATTTTACCTGGCATTAAACAGCAACATCATTTTACTGCAAAGCAAAGAGGGTACACAATAAAAATGCACTACTGCAGCTCATAAAATGTCATTACTTTTTTTATATAACCTACTAACACTGAGATAACTCCCCAGTCTCCTGCTTACTTCTCAGCTTGCCACTGGAGCATTCAGAAAAATACGTTGCACATTGAAGAAAATTACTCTCTGGTAGAGGAATACATTATGTTATTCATATGATTTGTTGTACCATTCCACTACAAAAGTATCATAGAGCAAGTGTTCCCACCTCCAAACCACAGCTCCGACCTAGACGCTGCATATTACAAATGGTGCTTTGCTGTTTACTGCAGCTCCACTGGACCAGATGGGAGTTGAGTGTTTGAGGAAAGAGAAAACATTATTCATTAATTTCCTCTGCCCACATTTTCACTACTGATCTTGATTTTTGAACCATTTGACAAGCTTCTGCCTGTTAATTATTTGGGGTGCCCCTTCCATTATATAATGCACTTCTGTTCTTTGAAAGCTTAATGCACTAATGATAAGCAATGCATTAAATCAGCAACTCGCCTCTATGGTAAAACTAACACCCATTTTTCCTAAGTGAGAGCTTTAATCATACACTTCCTCTTTAACCACTGGTCCAATAAATAGTTTTCTATGAGGTCATGGAGATGAGATTTTGGAGGATTTAGTGGGACATTATCTTTGGGTCAGAACCGTCATTAGACATGACACCATCAGGAAAGCCATTTCTGTGAATCCTCCACCACATCTGCTCACATTAGTCCTCTTCATCTGTGGGATATGAGAAGACCATCAGAGCAGATGATTATGCTTACAAAATGTCCCCCCACTGGTCTTGGGACTCAAAAAAAAAAAAGTCATCATCTTTTAATCAAACCCGACCCAACGCTTTTTAACGGCAGGCAAAAGAGATAAGAGGGAAGTGGAACATACTTGGACTCAGTGCAGGCATGTGATCATCCATCAGCTACCAGCACAGAGTGTTCTCATATCTGCCTTCACTCTCAGAAGATATGAAGGCAGGAAGCGCACACTCCACCCACCATTAGCAAGCAGCACCTCCAGCGATCACTTTATTCAAATCGGCCTGGTGCCGCACCCCAGTCCAATCAATGGCATTTATCTGCTCTTTGAAAAAAGCCGATAATGGGATGAGGCAGCAGAGGGAACGAAAGCGGGGGAGGTGTTAGTGTTCTATAGTGCTTAGACTCTTTATGTCCTTTGTCTGAATGGAAACAGAACATGACAGTGTTGATTGCATGATTAGCCTTGAGGGCTAATGTCAGTTAAGAGTCTCTGGGTTTGGGTGATCATGATCAAGCTGGTTGCGAGCTGCGGCTATTGTGTACTATGGCATCAAAAGTTGGGACACAATCTGTCAGTGAGAGTTGGGACACAATTTGTCAGTGAGTATCATATTGTGCCATGAAAAGGTTCAGACAGACTCCAGTCAGGAAAGTGACATTAAAGGTTGGGAAGATGAAGAAAGACAAATGCTACAGAAGGAGGAGATGAAATCTCCAGCTAGAAATGCAAAACCACTGATAATTCCATTAGTTCGCCATCCGTGTGTCTGAATTGATTTGTATACTAGGGGAAAAATATGGAGATAAAATACTATCAAAAATGTTACAAATGCGTGTTTAACGTTTTGTCTGTAACAAGCGATTTGTGTGTGTGTGTCATGAGGATCACAAATGCGTGCTGCTCAATCTGCACGTATAAAGCCATTTGTGTGTGTGTGTGTCATGAGGATCACAAATGCATGCTGTACAAACTGCACATAAAAAACATTTTTACAAATGCTTAAAATCGATTTTTTTGTGTGTAGTTCTTTAGAAAGTATGTACACATTGTTACCTACGCATGCGTGGATCGTCTAACACACAAATCATCTTCCGCGCACACACGGATTTTTGAGAGTGTTTTTCCGCACTCTCAAAAGTCCACGATCCACGAATGCACGTTGCATTTAAGGACACGTGGAAAACTCGGACATCTGATTTTGCAAACCTGTTTCCCAAACAAAAGTATTTACACAACCTATTCCAAATGGACATTACATAAAATAAACAAAAATATCTAATACATAACACGTTTTAACAGAGAACATTCCAGTTGCCTGCAGTTTGTGGTGCATGTTCTAAATTTTTAGATATTTAGAATTTAGAAGTTATGAAGCTAAAGTTAATGTTCCGCCCTGCGGAGTTTATAGTTTTTCAGTAGGGCATATTTTAGTGATGCACATATTCCTCCCGATGGAGTTTGTTGTTGTTTTTCAGTGGGACATGTTTTAGTGATACACACCGCCAGTAAATTTAGCATGAAAACAGTCACAGGTTGTCTCTCCTTCGAATCTATGTATCGAACCATCCACTTATCTAGTATAGCACGACAAAACGTTAAACACGCATTTGTAACATTTTTGATAGTATTTTATCTCCATAAAAAAAGGCCAGACATGTTTCTGTTGTCAAAACACAACCTGGATTTTCAAGGGATTTCATTTCAGAAGGAGTCTGTTGCTTTCAAAAGGATGCTGAGGAAAATATCCACCACTGACTCACTCTGAAACATCTCATGGATTTTTAGCGCTTTTGCAGTAGTTATTTACAGCTAAGCATGACATTCAAAAATGTAAATTAATAGGTGTTTCATTCCATATCTCAGTTTTTAAAAAGTAGTCCTGAGAATTAAATCACAGCCACCACGCAACCCTCTCTCATTGTTCAGCTCCCATCCCGTCCCCAGCCGCTGGTCTACAAACCTGGTATGACACACACCTCGGTGCTTACCTTGGAGTACATGGCCCCATTAAGGACCTCACCATTGTGGATCCAGATGATTGAGGCTGCTGGCTTGGCGTTGTCAGCGTGGCATGTCAGATTGAGTGGGTCACCAGCCCTTAGGCTCACCACCGGCCCTCCACTGATGACAGGGTCCTCTGGGGGAACTATTGATACAGACACAGAGGAAGAGGAGTTGTTAATCAGTATGCAACACATGTTGTTTGTTGCAGGGTATCCTGGTGTCTGGCTTTGTTTTTACAGGCACCACTCTTATTCTGTATGTATCCGATATATTCTTTATCCACAATATTGTGCTCCTGAAAATCTATTAACCACATAAGACAAAACTAACAACAAAGGGCACCTATAGAGAATTTGACTGCATGACACCCAATTTCACCCACAGTGCCTACAGTATTTGCCAACAAAAGGCAATTTTTTTTTTTGCTTTATTGTATAGAAATTCTTTAGAAAATAAAAGCTAGGGTGACTCATTCAGGGAAGGTAATGACTTCACAGTGAGAAACTGATTTACCCTGTACTTAATGAAAAATTAGCAGTAGATGGTGTAGTTTGATGCATGAAAAGCTTTGCACAAGTCACAGCATGAATATCGAAATACCAATCAGCTCTGCCTTTAGTCAAAACCGTTGTTATTTCTCCACTTCAGCATATACAATACACATACAAAAGTTAATAAGAAATGGAAATCAGTTTATGTATAGCCCTCCTCACACACACACAGATGTATATTTGTTCCTCCTGTTTCCCCTCTTTTGGCTTTAAGTACTATACATGCCTCCAAATTGTACTGATCAAAGTCCTATCCTGGTTTTACCCTTTGATATACAGTATATACATATGAGTTATTGATTGTCCTGAGTGCTCATTAATGCAGTTCTCAGGGCAAGATGAAATCAAAGGTTGCAGGTAGCTGCCATATTCGCCTGCAAAAGCATCATGATTGGAAGGAAGGTTGTTATGGGTTAGATTTATGCTGTCAAACAGCACTGAGATAAATGAAAAGAAAGGAAATGAAATGTGGGATCTGTTTTGTACATTTTATGACAATAAGCACAAAAGGGCTGTTTTATGGCAGAAACAAATGAGTGTGTTTTCCATAGTATTCTATGTTGCTCACTCTTCAGAATGTTTTTATCACTTTACATAACTCAGTTTAATTTTAAGTTGTATCTGTCTTTGAAAACAAAACTCTAGTTGTATTGCTGACTTACTGTATAAAACTACATTTACTTTAATAATAGATTGCTTTATATTTTCATTAAATAAAACTGTGTTGACACTAATTACGGTGTTTTTGAGATATAGCTATTCAGTGTCTTTACATTCTGTAACTACCTCTTTACATAATAGTTTATATTGTTAGTGGCATCCACAGTTCAAAGGATTGAAACTACCTTTCTACACATGAGACATTCCAAAAAAAAAAATATGCAGCGCACATTATAGTGTTACTGTCTTTAATTTTATATCAGCCAGTCTTACTGTTTACTGTTCATTCTCTTACAGTAATGCTGTATCAGAGCTGTATTATGGCACCTCTATTACAAACTAAGCATTTCCTACTGTTCCTACTCACATTAAAAGCATTCACGAGACTGTGGGGTGGCTTTTATTTTCAAGCCACAAGACTTCACTGAGGTTAGCATTAAGTGCAATCGATCATCAAAAATGCTTCTACAAAGCAAGACATTGTCATTTTTGACATTTTTGTCAGTGGGTCAGTGTTAAAAACTGTGGATAGTAATAGAACGAGAAAGGGCAGCCACAGTGAGATATGTTAGATGCAGAGCTGCAGGTGGGAGGGTAACTAACTCCTGTTACTGTTATCATGCTCTTCCGTGGCATAGAAAACGATTTGCCCAGCATCACATCACATCGTGGTTCCAATTATTTGAGATTTTTCTGTCTTCTTTATTAAAACAGACACACCATTAGCTTTTACAAAGCAGCTGCTCAAGGAATGTTTGTTGTAATATTAAACCACATTGGCTGTGACCATGGTAACCACAGGTGTTGACAATCAGGGCCTAATTCTTCCTATATTCTAAAACGTAGTCTATTAAACAAATGGACACGTATCATTTTTGCATGATACACAGAAAGTGAAACAACACTTTGATACTAGTTGTCCACAACAACGTCACACTCACGCTCGTCACGCTCGTCACCCCATGGGGGTGGCATTCTGGTTTGTTGCACTTATGACTAACACATGGCTGCATTACATAAATTGATTGACTGAAAAAACACTGACGCTTGTTTGTTTGTTCAAATCACATTCTCATCAGTACCTCACATTTACAGTGACTAAAGTCTGAATCAGCCCAGTGTAGGAACAGTGAATTCTGGATTTTGACTACACTGGACTAATACCTCTGACAAACTGGACCAGTAAATCTGCTATTTCAAAGAATTCCCACTCACGTTTCCTATTGTGTGCTTGAGTTTGACATGTAAGTGTTAATTCTGGCTGGTTTCCTTTCATCTGGTCTTCATTAATATGCAGAGGGCTGGAGAGGGAGAGGAATCTCAGGACTAGCAGATTAGAAAACAGTGCTGATCTAGTAAGTCTTTGTGAGAATGTGGACACCTTTTGGTCCTTTATCAGCATTTGGAAACAAGGTCAAGAAGATCACATGAATTTGTTTTTGTGCTAAGAATAGAGCTACTGCATTATATGCAAATTAGACATGGAGCATGTGAAAAGCATTACAGGCTGGGACTCTGGAGACAGCTCTCTCCCATTTGTCATTAAAGAAAATGAACAAAATGTGAGGCTCAGTGATACCACTGTGACAGTTGATTGCTAAGATCCAGCGTTATTGGCTTGCTGTCAGTGTTCTCTTGCGCACATGACTGAAACATTAATTAAATGTCAAGCATATAAGGCAGCTACAAAAGTTTTTTTTTTTTTAAGCAGACAGGGAGATTAGAAAGGAAGGTCTGACAGTATGTGACTGATAGGACTCACTCAGCATATGTCCCAGTGAAGTTATTTTTCTCTTACTGCTTATAAGTACTTGAAATTTCTCAGAGAAAGAGAGATTAGAGGCTTTTTTCTTTCTCTCAAAGGAGATATTCATTCTTTATACATATTACAGTAGCACATATTAGTGTCTATAAATACATGCTAGAGGTTCATAAGGTGACACAAATAATGAATGTGTTTATATCCCTACAGGCTGTTTCTGTAAGTCGCTATGTGCCTCCCTTTGACCTTTAATAGTCTCAGTTGTCTAGTATTATTCCATCTTATGTTTTCCATTTGAAGGATGTCAAAGCATACGATGCAAGATAGGTTTATGATTTTGAGCATAGTGCAGCTACATGGGAAAGAGGCAGTCACAGGCAAACCAAATAGTGCACTGCTACTCTTTTAGGTCAAGTCCCTCTGGAGGACCACCTGCCAGCAAGACACTGAGGGTAAATGGTGAACAGACAAGGAGAAGAAGGACATGCCTGGCTGCCTCCATCCTGCATCTGTACCTTTGTATCTTTGTCATTCTATCGCTTCTGTCCTGTTTTTGAGGTATCACTGTGTGCAGAGGGGCCCAACGTGAAGACGGTCTGTGACAGCCTTTTCTGTATAACTTGAGCATGTGCAATATGCTCAGCTTGTGCTCCTTTGTCATCTTTTTGAAATCATTACTACTAAAAGAGAATGAAAAAAAGCATCTTAACAAGGCAAAAAAGCAGATATGATTACACAAGTAATGGTGAAAGAGAAGCATTTTATGGGTCTTTTTTGGCAGGTAAATGTCTTTGTGTCAGGCTGAGGAAATGTGAAGATTTGATCAGTAACCCAACAACCACTGAAGATAGGATTATCTAAGATAAGATAAGATAAGATAAGATGAACCTTTATTAGTCCCACAATGGGAAAATTCATAAAGCTACAGCAGCAAAAGAATAACAAGGCACTCAGTGATAGAGAGAAAAAAGTAAGAATAACAAAGTATTAACAATACAAACAATATAAATATCATTTAAAAAAAAAGTAAAACTACAGTCTGGAGGTGTCTAAGCTCTACTGGGGGGTGGGGCGTCTACTGGGAGCAATGCTAGTTGCATGTCCTGACAGCAGGAGGAAGGAAGGACCTGCAATAACGCTCCATCATGAACTTGGGGTGGAGCAGTCTGCCACTGATGGAGCTGCCCAGCGCTGTCAGAGTCTCATGCATGGGGTGGGAGTCATACACCAGCAGGGATGCTAGCTTGGCTAACATCCTCCAGGCACACACCACCTGCACCGAGTCAAGGGGGCTTCCCAGGACCGAGATCGCCGTCATGACCAGTTTGACTAGTCTTTTCCTGTCTGCATTTGAGAAGCTGCTGCCCCAGCAGATCACTCCATGAAAGATGGCTGATGCGACTACTGTGTCCCCTGCACTCCAAAATGACCTTAATCTCCTCAGCAGGTAGAGCCTGCTCTGGCCTTTCTGCTAAAGAGTTAACCTTGAAGGGGTTTCTGCAGACACCAGTCCACAAAGTTCTCTGCACTCCCTGTCATTCAAATGAATGACTAGGAAAAATATATTTAAATAGATATCTAGCTGTTTCCCTTCATCCAAGATCTTTCACTGATCTTGCCTTATGACTGCTTGGACTGAGAGTTATACAGAGGCCAAGCCTTGAACTTGAATCAGCCATCATCATTACTGGGCTGTTTGCAAACTCGGCAGTCCCTAATGGTTTTAAATTAGCTCTTTACTGCAGCCTTTCGATAGACTTGGCATAAGTAGTGTGGTCAGTGGTACAGATTGATTGCTTCTCTTTAATTACAGGGCTGACTCATTGCAAACTCTTCACTCATTAATTTTTTTTTCTTGGGGATAACAGTGAAATACCCTTCAGCACTTTCACAAATTTGCATTCTGTTATGCATGAATAAACATATAAATGTGTGGCATGCATACACACAGGATGATTACAGGATTTATGCAAATGAGAGAGAAATAATATCAGATATATCAGTCACAAGAGTTTTTTTTCCCCTTTTTTGGGGTGGGGGTGGATGACAATATTAATCAAAGATTAATAAAAAAAGATTAATGATAAAAAGGTAAAACTGTTGTAAGATACATACAGTTCATTATGTTCATAATTTAAAAGACTGTTTTGGTCTTACTTTGACCCATGG